CCATTAGTCATATTTACCATATTAGATGCATAATAAATTTGGTAAAAGGAAAGAAAAGGTAAATTGATGTAATGCGTCATTGAAATGAGAAAGCAAGAACAGCGAATTACATACGATGCAATTTTTGCTGAAGTTTTGCCTATATTTTTTCAAAACATCTGAGACACTCTTAAACTCCTCGTTCACAACATATGACTTCTTCTAGAGGTCCGAATTGAGCGAGTTATCTTACCTTCCCGTAGAGTAGAAGATCTTCTCTCGTTATCGGGCAAATTTTTTCCTTGTTTGATGCGTTCGCGCGTCAGACTTTTTAAAATATAAAAAAGAAAATCTGATCGAGCCAATTGTTTTGCTCTGTTGTAATGACTGCAATGCAATATTCAATTAATCTTTCAAGACATAATCGAAACACTATACACTTTTGAAAAGAAATTAACAAATTGATAAGAATCATATTGCTTACAAATATGCAATTTTATGCAAAATTCTAAAGGAGCTTATTCATATAGGAAAACTCTTGTTTTATAATTTTGTTTTTTCTCTTCCTTTTGTTTCAAAGTTTTTTATTATTAATTATTTTCTGATTTTTTAATAATTAATTATTTATATTTTTAAGACGTTTCGAAGATATCTTTCTCCTTCTTCAGTTTTATTTTATTTGGTGTTATGTTTGTTTTTACTATTTATAATACGTATCTGACTATTATTTTTCTTTTTCTTTTCTTTTTTTTCTTTAATAGTGGAACGAAATGACAAGACGGTAATACTGGCCGATAAAACTTATATGCTTTGACGTTCCGTTCCACTATTAAAGAAAAGAAAAAGAAAAATAATATTCAGATACGTATTGTAAATAGTAAAAACAAACATAACACCAAATAAAATAAAACTGAAGAAGGAGAAAGATATCTCCGAAACGTCTTAAAAATATAAATAATTAATTATTAAAAAATCAGAAAATAATTAATAATAAAAAACATTAAAACAAAAGGAAGAGAAAAAACAAAATTATAAAATTATAATGATCTTCCTAAACATATGTAATTAGAAAAACTCTTGTGTATTTAACTTTGGAGATGAGAAAAAGAGCGCCTTTATATATTTCATATTTCTATTTAACTTTGTTTTAAGCTATCGTTACTGAAATAAGACGAAAACCGCAGATATTGTTTTCATACAACTGCAATATTATAAGACAATTTCACTATTTAACCAAATAAATATTGATTGCTTCATCTCAGTTAAATAGAGTGACTGAACGTTATATTAGATAACGAATCTTTACTTTTATTTTTTTAGAAAATTCATAGTTCTTCTCTATAACGTCCATTTGCATATCGTTTTTATTTTGAAACCAATTAGTTAATAAGGAATAAGAAGTATTCGAAACAATCATGATTTCGATGTGAACAATGATTCTAATCACAAAACATATTATATTGTGTCATTCATTCGCTAGAAGTCTATACTTCCATATGTCTTTTTGTTTTTTTCATAGTATACTTCTCATTAAGTTTCTCATAAGATATTCAACAAAAGCGATATTATATATTTTTTGTTCAGTTCTTGTGTTATTGGATTAATTAAACTCATCAATCTGAATGAAAGTGAAATAATACAATATAAAGCAACCATATTTTACTATAAATAGAGTACAAATGTTTATATACAGCGTTCTGATACCCAAATAAAAGCTATGATCAAATATTTTCAAAATATTTCACCTGCCGACTACTTAAAATTGGCTAAATCAATATTTTATTTTTGAACATCTCTTTCATTGCCATAATTTGTATAGTTTTCTTTACTTGATTACTTTCGTTTATTCGCTAATAAAATATTATTTATCTTCCTATTCTTGTTTTTCGCAAAAATTCTTTGACAATCATTTGTTGACAGAGCTTATTTAATCTACTAACGTAATTTAAAAACAGAGGAGAAAAATATCATATTGTGCTGGAGCGTCGTGCGTGTAAATGTCGACGTGCAAGTGCCTGCGCAGAAATGTCGTATCAAGGAAAAATACATATTCATGTTGAATCGAATAGAACAAAAGGAAATCTTACTTTTTTTCTTCTTGGAAGGTGCACAGTTGTTGAGGTAAGTCAAACTGAAAGTAACTGTCAAAGTAATTTCTTACGTACATATCGTACTACTCATCGCAAGACGGAAACAAAATCTTTCATTCGGTGTTTCTCAAATAATTGTATATTACGTAAATAAAAAGTTTTAGTTCACTGTTGAGAAGATAGAAGTTTTCTGATCTTTGATATTATTTTGTAAAAATAGAAATTTGCCATTGGTATTTATCGATTGTCTCACAACAAAAAAAGTAACATCAACTACTAAATAAAATCAATCCAATCAATTTATTTATATAGTCGAATTTATTCTAGTTTTTTTTTTGTTCGAAGAATCAAATTTCATTCAACAAAGGAAAATCTCCCAATAAGATATAATTCTTTTACAATTATCTTTTTGTATTTTCATAATGTTTCTGTGAAAAAAAGCGTTCATTTGACTTTTCAACTCAATGTTCGTGAACACAATTACTCCACAAATCGAAAGACATTGTCTAAAAATTGAAACAAGACTATGTAATAATAGAGTTTTATTTCTATTTCCTATTTTATAGACTTTAGATCGTTGTTTTTCTATAATAAGAAAGACTAGATATCAATCTTTCGTTATTTTATTTTTCTAGTGAAATCATCGACACCAACGTTCTGTCACGTTGTCATTTAAAAAATAGGTTTCATGCACTATTGCACATTTCTGTAGATGTAGACGCCCTCAATGTAATTTTGTCTCTTAACCGAACAAAACGCATCATTAATCACACATATAGGTACAATGACACAATTGTCAATCATCTTGACACATAGTTCATTCATTTATCAGCAAAATAAATAATAGAACTTTTGTACAATTGAAGGTAAGCTTTTTCGGTAATTGTCAAATTTTAAAATACCCTCAGTACAGTTTTTGACAAAAGTAAAACATGATACTATGCGAGTAAGATTATGTTACTTGAATGATTTGTTTATTTATGATACTTATTATGGAATGTAAATAGTTGAAAATGTATCTCACAGATTGTTTCACCAATAATTGAGACGGTATTAGTTACAAGGCGACCTCTTGGCAAAGAGTTAAATCATGAATGTGTTTTGATAACTATATGGAGATTTGTGGTTTTATTTCATTTTATCGTTAATAGAGGATCATTTGGTGATATCATAAAATTGAGATACGCTGCTAAATTACAACTTACATTTCAATAATTTCGTTCGGTCATCTAAAATGCTACCACAAAACTTGAGACGTAAACTCTTCGAGTTCTTCTTGAAAAACTTGATATAATATCGTCGAACATTCCCAAAGAATCTATCTATTGACAATTCAATTCTAAATGGAAATATGAATTTAATGTATGATTTTATATTTTAAATCTTATACGCTTGAAATTCTAATTATTTCCACCTCTTATAAATTCTTGCTCTCTAATCGACTGTATCTTCCGTTAGCAACATTTCTTGTTACAGTAATTATTCATTGAATAACTTTTCGGTTTATTATGTTGAAATAAAAATCAAACAGTTGACCATTTCGTAATGCAATTTTCGATTATAAGGAAATAAATTCTCGAATTTTTCTCGATTGGCAGTTTTCTAGGGTGGATTCAGCCCAATACAACTACGAGTGCAATTCTACTAGCTGACAACAAAAGTAATATTGTCCGTAAGAAGTCAAATAAAACTAAAATGTAGTACCCTGATATGATATTTTAGCTGTTTTATTACACGACTTTAAGTACTGCATTCTCCCGTTTACTATTTTAAATACATGTAAATTAGAACATATGTTGTCAACGGAATGATATGCTATATTTTAGATGTTATTTCAGTATTATAAACTATGGTTATTTATCATCGTTTCTCTGGCAGTGGGATGGTTTCCGATTGTACATGTGATCAAAAACTCGCTGACGAGAAAAATTTTTAACACGTGTGTTCCATTGACAAACGGTAAGCAAGCAATGTTCATAAAGCTATGTTGATATTCTAAAATCGCAGAAATGGATTCAAACTTACGATTCATACCCGATGAACTCAGTTGGATGGTGAAAAAAAGTGATATGTGCTACTCGGTATCCGATTTAAAGAATAGAACCAATTGGAATAATATAGAAATTGAGAAAGAGAACGATGGACAATCTGTGCATTTGATTAGTCAATGGTATCAAGAATCGAATATACGTCGGCGTCATGAGCTCATTGCTGTGCTCCATATGAATGTCATAAATAACGCTGTCTCAAAAATTCATCTCCTTCAACCAAGTGGAAAACCATGCACAGTTGCACGAGATGTACAAGTGGATCCGCATTTTCCTGTTGCTATGCTTAAATCTAAACTGGTTATTCGGTTTTTAGACAACTTCTCAACTGAACGTTTAACTATTCAACAAGCCATAGAATATGCCAACAGCAACATTGAAAATGCGTATGTTGCTCTAATCAATCTAGATACATTTTTTGATCAAAGCTTATCGATACTAGCAAGTGCCCCTATGACTAGCCATAAAACGGTTTTCTACATTTCTCGATATGAAATTGATCCAAAATCTACGAAACTTGGTACACAATGTTCAAGAAAGTACATGGGAAGTCATGACGCTCTCATATTTCAACCACCTGTTTCTTCTCGAATCGCACATGCATTACCTTTCGAAATGGGAACATGGCACATTGAAACAAAAGTTATATATGAATTCGGTCAGCGAGGTTACAGAGTGCGCAATGTGTGCAAAACGCTACGTATTTGGCATTTGCATTCGAGCCAAGTGCGCCATCGGCTAATGCCAGACAAGCGGTATGTATCCCGACATCAATATCACATGGTGATTCGGCCTCCTGAAACTCTTTAAAAGCTGTCGAACTGATTAACAAAATTTTTACAACAGTGTGCAGTCAACAATACAACAAGATAGCTATTTTGCTTGCAATTAATTCGAAGAGGGCATCAATTATTCAGTCCTATTCGAGTATGCGCAGATCTAACTAGATAAAAAAAATCATTTTTATCGAAAATTTCACGAAGAAATAAAATAAAAGTCGAAAACAATTGTTGGTTTTTTGTCCAGAAAAATCATCCTAGTACGATCATGATTTATGTAGTCTCTAATTTTAAACAAGAGCTAATTTGAGTAATTGATAGTGTTAAAATAATTAGTAGAGAATTTCAAGGGATGTGAAACCTTTTTTTCGAATTCATGTGGTCTCTGATATATATGTCAGATAATTATCGAATTTAAGACAAAAGAGTCGCAACACTATTCGAAAGAGTCAACAGAATAATCATTCTCTTATCTCTATACTAGAGATCTGGAGTTGGATTGATGTCGGAATTTAATATGCATGAATTTTACTTTGTTTCGCATGAGATTCTCGGTCAAATGTTTTTAGTTGATAGGTGCAAATTCGTAAATGTACGCACAAGTTTTGGTCACCTGTAATAAACATCATGATACTCATGTGAATTAACATTTTTACTTCAATCTGGATTGAGCTCCTCGGTAAGATAAAGAATTCTTAGTAGAGAGTTTTTTACACAATTAAAGGATAACGTTATTTCTAAAATGATGTTATGTTTTATTAATATTCAATCTGTTAAAGTAATATTGATGAATAAAATTCCTTAACTTTCCTATAAAAATGTTACATTAACATATGTTTTTTTTATTTCTCTAAGAATTTTTTTATATGTAATAGTCTTCTAGATTTAATATTCATTTCATTAGCTTACAAATCATCAGATTGAAATTTGTCTTGTGATAAAGAAAATTCAACGTTTCTAAAACAATTGATTAAAAATAAAAGTAAAACATTTTGTACGGTCTGGTTGCATGTTTGAGAAATCTTATGGTGACTTTGAGATAGAATATGTGATGAAATTTTAACTTTATCTATCTAATAAAGAGGCAATTGTATATTCATGCGCGTTTTTTAAATAAAATATCGTGTTATACATTTGATAAGACATCCACATTTGTTACAGACATTTTAATCCAAGTCCCTGGAATAATCAAATTAAGAGTAAAATGGAAAAAAAAGATATTACATGCTAAAGTTGAAAATTTATAATAGTCTTTTATAGGTTTATTCTACTCAGAAGAAGATAATATATAATTATCACATACTAACTAAGACTTTTATGTCATACATTGTTCTTCTCACAGATTTCTTAATGTGTCTCAAATATTCATAGTAGCACAAATGACTTAATAAATCGTAAAAAGGAGAAGAGAACAAAAAAGATTCTAATGCACAACATCACGAAGAAATAAAAAGAAAAACGAAGTACTTTTCTTAGATCATTTCGATAGTTTACTAATAAGACGAATCAGTGCAGCATTTTCTTCTTTGAAACGAATATTATCTGACTTTATTGAATCGATCTTCTACAAAAAAAACAATAAACTATTACATTTGAGACAGATTTGACAGAGAAAAAAATTTGCTTACTTGTAATTCGTCTCCCAATTCAGATATTCTTCGTTCATAAACTCGTTTTTCCTATAGTAAAATAAAACAAATATATTTCGATTTGAACTGAAGTATCCTACAGAAAAGCATTATTTGTTTGTTAATATCGACAAATTTCGAGAAAATTCAAATTCTTCTTGTCTTCTGTCGATTGACAAAAATATACAGTGACTGTTAGGTTTTGTTAATTTTTGAATATAGTTTCAATTCTATTCTAACTTCTTGCTCTTTATTTACAAAATTATTTATTCTTACTCGTTTGTCAAATGATTGTTCAAAATATTGAGATGTTTTCTATACAAATCAAAGATTATATAGCTAAATATAGATTCATAATGGACATACGAGATTTTCAATGATTTGATCACGATCAATAATATCTTTTTCTAATCGATCAGCTTGTTCATTCAGTTGATCAATGAGCTTTTTTGTTTCTTCATATAATTTGATCATCGATAAATCATTATTATCTTTTTTTGAACTGATTCCATGCACTAATGAAGAATTCTGCGCTGCCAATGGTTTTTTTGACGGTTCATGATTGTGTGAACGATTAATTCGTAAGACTGGAGGCATACATTCTTTGTTACTGTTGTTAAATCGAGACATTAGACTTCGAGAACCGATCATTGATGATTGTTGAATATCTTTATCGCTTGATGTATCGTTAGATTTCTTACCAACGGAAGAATCATCTTGAATTTCAACTTGTTTTGTTTCCTATGAAACTCGAAATATGAGATGTTAAACATTGAAAAGAAAAATAAATCTCTTACATCATTCCATACAATTCTTCCTGTATTTCTTCTTTGATTATGTACACGATTTTGTCTTCGTCGACCTTGTTGAGAATCAGCAAGACTCAATGAATCATTGGCAACTATGGTTGGTAGATCATCGCCTGATGGTAATTCAGGTTTAATTGGATATGATGTTTCAATATTCATCTCAGTCATATTCTAATTAATATTGAAACCGTTCACTTGATATAGAAATCATTCTTTTTAAAATAGAATCTAGAATATATAAAAGTTAATTTTCGTTTCAATAGAAACATGTGAATATTTATGATTGTTCTTGCTGTAAAATCGAGAAAAGAATTTCGTAGCTCTTTTTTTCGATTTAGAACAATAATTTTATCGAAAATGTTTACAATAAATACACTACTTTTCTGACCATTAGAATTCATATTTAAGAAAAGATATTATCCTAGTAGAATTAATTGAATCATATGCAGAGAACTTTATCTTTTGAATCTATAGCTCAAACTCGAGTCTGATTAACAAATGTAATTCGAATATTGATTTCATTTTAAAGTTACAGTTGACAATGGGGCAAAGCTGGATCGAACTGTCGGGTCACTCGACTTAATTAAAGCTGTAGACTGTTAGGAATACTGCATCACGAAAGACAATGATCGATCAATATGAAATAGCGGAGAGAAGTTCTATAAAATTCTATTTTGAAATTAAAAACAATTGACTTCCGAATTATTTTTCTTTCTGGAAATTGATCATGTTTATCAAGCAATAAACCTGTGGATGATGTATCAATTTCATTAATCAATCCCTAATGATAATTTTTGTGTTGTGGATCAGAAAAAAACGAAACTTTTTATACTGATATACATTGATGTTGCCAATAAACTACTGAAACCATCACTGATCTGACTTCATTGACTCGGAACCAATAGGTTTGATCTGAAAAATTTTACCTCAGCCTATAAGTAAGAACAAAATATATTCAAATACGAAATAAATGAGCATATCAAATAGGTATCTTACCTTTATTTGATTTGGAAGTTCCATGATTGAAAAATAGAAGATAATAGTTTTCTATATTCGATGTAAAATCATTTCTATGTGAAAATAATTATCTTTGCTATATTTCCATCAAAGTATTAAAACTTGTTGTGTTAATTTAGAATTTCCTTTGAAAAAATATTGATTCTTTAAATAAACTTTCATTCTACAATTAAAAGATATATGTTTGATATAAGACGCTGGAAGTATCATTAAAAATCTTCATTTTATCATTTTCGTTTCAATGCAAACGAATATTTTAAGGAATAATCTGATGAGAAGCAAAAACATAAGGCACAGATATAATCGTGTCTGTAAAGGACCATTCAACATACGCTAACTATTAAATGAGATTTTCGATCTCGTAAAACATATACTTTAAATACATCATTTTATTTTAGTTATGTCCTCAGAATCGACTTTGGATTGTGACATAATAAACAAATGGGAAAGATATTTCAAAATACTGAATTTAGCTAATCTTATTATCGTATAGTTTTAGCAGTTATGGAAAAGAGTCAGCGTCCGATAACGTGGTCTTTTATTTTGCATCTGTATTCCTTCATCGGAGTATCTAAACATTATGAAATATCAATATCGAAAAATAATTTAATTTAAAAAAATAAAATAAAAACCATTGTTTCGTAATGTAATATTTGTTCTCAGTTGTCATTCTAAATATTAAAGTAGAACAAGATCAACTTTTACAATAAATTTTATTATCAACAACCAAACTTACTGAATCATAGGTAAACACTTTTGAGAAGCAACATATCATGCTCGAATATCTGTTTTTCCCTAACAAATAGTGGACATATTAATGATGATTTAAATCATTTATTGCAAAATGTATCATGTGTATGTTCCTTCAATAAGCATCGTTTTTTTACTTATTGTTGATAGTTTTTAAAATCATTTTGTAACACATAACTGACATGTTAACACTTTGCTCTAAATCAACTGCTAGTTTCATTCTCATTATTACAAACATTAGTAATAGCGTGCTGTGATCAAAAATATGTCGAGATTTAAAAATGGATAAAACGAGTTTTAACTTGAAAAATATGAATCTTTCAATAAAATACAAAACTATATGCACATGTTTCATTATGTTGGCAAAAGATATTAAATTTTTCTATAGGGAACATATTCAATTATATTTTAATTATTATTGATAATTCTTGATGACATATTATTAATTAATTATCAACTTCATCTTGATCTACCGATGAATATGCAGCTAAAAAAAGAATATAAATTTATTCAAAGTTAACATAAGTTTTATAGTTGAACGTATACGATGTGATTTTAACTAATGCCAACTATATAATTGACTTCGAATAATACTGTAATGATTACAACTTTTCATAAACCTTCGATCTCTGTTGAAAGACCCTATTTGACTCCCAAAAAATATGAATATATCTTATATTCAGTAGGCGAATATAGTTTTAATTTCTACAAAAATCTTTCAGTCAAAATTATCTCTTTCTTGAACACCCTATCTTTGGCTAAGAATAGGCGCGGTGTCCCAGAGCCATATTGTATTTGATTGATGATTCATTTTGTTAGGTAAACAATAATTTAGTATAGTTAGTTAAACATTCTAGATTTCGTTCTTTAAGAATGGATAACAGTAAACAAAATACGAATATGCATAAATCATATGGAATGATGAAATCAATATATTTGTACGATTTTATTATTATAATTTCAATCAAAATAATTTCATTTTTAGGAAGAAAAATTCATAATTTTTTACCAATAAATGATGTCACTAATAGTCAATAATTCATTGGCTTTTGCCTAACAAATTACATCTTTCATCAACTTACGAAACGAAACGTGTACTTACGTAAATTGTATTAAGTCTTATAAATATTGTTAAAAACTGAACGCCTCAAATATAGAGAACGAATATGTCGAAAAAATTCGGTACAAATACAAAATCAGCTGAAGCTCGTGCACGAAAAGATGCTGTAAAACAATCTAATGAAAGAGAAAAACAGCAGCGTTTAGAAGATGAATATTGGCATGAGGATGATAAACTAGTTCAAAAAAAGCTACAAAGAAAGGTAAATTTTTTTATTGATTTTATTTTCATTGTTAATAAACTTTCAACTATTTAAATCTAATGATGAATACAAATTGCTCCTCCATTCCCTATAGTTTGATGAGTCATCAAATTAGTAAAATAAAATATTCACGATGTCTCTTGCGTTGATCACAACTAAAAAATGTCGGGATATGAAAAGTAATTTAGAAAAAGCAGCAGTTTTAGATTTTCTGCGTGAGAACAATAATCTTGACGTTGATAATTCATTTTCTGATTTAGAATTCGCATTTTTTTTTCTATTCAAGGATGAACGGGAAAATAAAGAACATGAAAAATTACAACGTAAACAAGAAATTCAAAAACTTCTCGAACAAGAAGAAGCAGCACTAACTGCGTCAAAAGCGAAAAAGCCTGTTGATTTAGCACCAAAAAAAGTAACACAAGCACAAATTCAACAACAACAAACTACAGGTGGTGCTGCAGCCGCGCCTACTGGTACTAATGGTAATTTTTTCTTTATGTATCTTCTGTTTAAAGTATTTTTTATTTCTCAACAGTAAAACAGAAACCTATAAATGACGAAGAAACACCTATCGAAGAAAATATAAATCGCCTACAGATCGATGGTAGTACAGCTCGAAATATCAATGAAGCTCTTCATGTTTTATCGTAAGCAATATCATTCTCTGTCCAGCATAAAAGTTCTTCAATTTATTTTTCTATATTCTTAAGATCATCACAAATTTTACTTGATAGTCATCCTGAAAAACGTATGAAAGCAGCATTTGATGCATACGAAAAAGAAAATCTCCCTAAACTAAAACAAGAACATCCAACATTACGTATGTCACAATTAAAACAATTATTGAAAAAAGAATGGATGAAATCGCCTGACAATCCATTTAATAAACCTACAAAAGCATATAATCAAGGAAGTGTTTTACCACAAAATGTACCAGCTAATGTAGAAGATTCTGATCATGATGAAGATTAAATTTGCATGGAAACAATTTATTTGAGATAGATTTGCAATTGTTTGTATTGATTATCTATGTATATAATCTAACATAAATGAGAGACTTTGCAGGAAAGCTCGAGTTTTTTTGAAAAAAAAATAAACAAGAAATTTCAAGCAACAAGTTAATCTAACTGACAAAAAGTCTACATCATTTCTACGTTATATAATCTGTGCTTTTGCTTGAATTTGTTTGTATTTTATTCACTTACGATTGAAATAGAGAAAAGCTTTTGAAAGCATCTCCCTATAACTGGTGACAAAAAAAAATGAGATGAAACGATATGCATTTTGACTAACAGTTCTGATGAGAGTGAAATTTAGTGTAACCTTGCACTTAGAGATGTGAAGTGCTTTTGGAAAGAATAATAATTACAACAGATGTTATACGAGAGTTTTCTTCATTCATAGATTGTTTCCAGAACTAGGAGTTGAATTATGGAGTAGATTCATATTCAAAGAGATCTCGTTTTCATGTTTTTGACGTCGAAAATTGTAGAAAAATAAACTTTTATTCTCAGAAAAGATTGCTCGTTATGGAAAACACTTTCATGTACTCTTTTTTAATTACTAGTGGATATAATTAGTCAGTTGACAATCTAAAGAAAATCGTTTTAATATACTTTATTCAAATACAAGACAATCACTTAACATTTCAACTTACCGTTAGTTGTATATGGCGGATGCTTCATTTTTACAAATATCTATTTGTTGTGATAAAGAAATTCACTGAAGATATTCAATAACTATTGAAGTAAAAACAATACAATGAAAACTATCAAAAGAGATAACAATATTTTATGACTTATTGTTTTTATAAAAAGACCTTTGGGGATGATCCTAACGGGATTCTCTAAAATTATAATTAATGTTTAGTTATTAATAATTGAGAATCGATTAGAATCTTATCTGGGGCAATCGGTGATGATTTCTATAAGTATTCTTTAGAGTCTACAAGTACAGCATTCATAAATGCAGAAAGTAACTTCAGCTATGCGCTGCAGATACAGTTTTCAATTTTTGCAAACAACGATTATTCTTATCATTCAATATTTTGTAACATTGATTAACATGATTGACTTGAACAAGTTGATTATGTTGAAATATGTGACACATCAGATACAACTCTATGTCGTCTTAAACAAATATGTGCAAACGATTGGATAACTGGTGGTATGACAAATTTTAAAATTTCTATGATACCTCCAACTAAACCAATTACAATGGCTAAGATATAAATTATATCATTTCTAGTTTGCATTATAATAATTTTCATGAATCATAGATAAATTCCATTTTTCAATCATTAATTCATTGACAAGTTCTTCCATTATTGACTTTTCTACGAAACGACTTGCTAATGATGGATCGAGTGCTTTTACATCTAGACTTAAGTTAGATAATAAATATGAATTTAATTCATTGATACATGTTTGATTATAAAAACATTCGAGAGTTGATTGTAATAATGATTCAATCATGAAGCATCCTTTATAAATGCCTGGTATTGTAAATAATTTAGTGACACCTAATTTATCATAGATGACCGATGGTTCTACACATGCCCGTGAAATATCACATCGGCAATTTGAGTAGTATTGAGGATTTTGTGTTAAAATTTCTGTGTATGGCAATCTAGGAGAAAATGTTGGGTGTAAATCATAATTTGTCCAACGTCCAGAGAAAAAAGCATTGGCATGTGTTGTTTTTCGTATAATTTCCAATGATAATAATAGTTCATTTGTTGCCAAAGACATAAAGTGTTCGAATGATGATTGCAGTTGTAAATAAAACAAATCGGATGGTACTACTGTGATGCTAATATAACGATTTGAATAAAATTGAGTTAAACTTTTCGACATTGTCTTCTCTGCTAATTGACAAAATGTATTCAAAGCTTGAAATAAATATTTACGTGTACCACGGAAGTCACGAAAGTACGACGTCATCTGTGGAGGAGTTTGTAACAACTGTTGTCTCCAAATCTCGGTAACAAAAATACTACTACACACTTGATGAAATGTATATTTAACATTGAGAAACCTCTTATAATTGACCGATATTGTTGTACACGGACATGTTAACGTTTGTGAATAAGTTATATATAAGTTTGAATATGTTTTGAATGTAGGTGCGTTGATACTGACAATCTTATTGATTTTGACCAATGAAGTATACATAATAATGGTAGCTGTTGAGAGAAATAAGAGTAAAATAAGTAATCTGGTAGATATGCGTTCATTTCGAAGATCCGTGCCGTTAATTGAAGGTGGTATTGATACAAATAAATTGAGATTTCGTAAAAACTTTATTGATTTTTGATATGTAGTTAGCGTTGGTTGATTGGTGATGTTGTCTGTTATAAATATGTATAGAAGAAGAGAAAAGGAAAGACACAACGGAAAATATAAATATAAATATATGTATCATGTTTCTAAAAGTGTTGATGTGATTTATGATATTTTACTAAACTAAAATTATTGTTTAGTGCATACTATCGAACTCAAACCCTTTTTTTAAAGATAAATACGTTTTGTTGGAAGTATGACGTTAAATAGATCTTGCTCATATGAAGAAGAGTACAACAAAGTGAAACTGGCACATAATTGCATTAGTTTTCACTGTATTTCCTCATAACCCACTAATATTATTTTGAGATCCCTATTATTATTAAGAAGACGACTCTCTATTTTCTCGAACACTGATCGATAGATAATAGTGTCGGCCTTTTTTTGGATCTGAGTAAATTAACATCTAAATGATGCCTATAGATTTTTCGAGCTAGATGGATACTCTAATAAATAATTTTGAAAATAAAATTTCGATTAACTATTTAAGATTATCTTACCCGGTATTGTAATTGGTAATCTTTTATGTCTTCTTGCAAGTTTAACTAATAATGGTAAAATAAACTTCAAAGCTGTTATCAAGCCACCACATAGACCAAATATTGTAGTCACAATATAGAATATATGATTTCTAGTTGAGTAACTATAGAAACAATGTGTTGGCCGACATGTATTGTAGTAATTTTTGAACGTAATAGTTCGACTCCACTCTTTAATCATTGATTTATTTACAAGTTCTTCAATGGTTGAATTCACAGGAAAATGGCCGAGCAATGTTGAATCAAGAACGGTTACGTTCAGAAATTTTTTATATGCATAATATGATTGTAATTTATTAATACATGTTTGATTGTAAAAGCATTCTAGTGTTGATTGTAATAATGCTTCGATTGCAAGACATCCCAAGTAGAGACCTGGTATTAAAAATAGCACAGTTTTGTCAGAAAACCTGTAAATAGATGATTGCCGAATGCATCTAGGTGAATTATCACAACTACAGTCAAAATAATCACGAACCACTAACGATAAACTATCAAATTCAATATTTATGTATATATTATATTGCATGCCAGCCAAAGCCCATAGACCATTGACTTGAGTTGTGTCTCGTACGAGTTCTAACGATGATATTAGATCATTCGTTATCGAAGACATAAATTGTTCAAGCAGTAATTGTATTTGAAATTCAAATAAATGTAATGGTTGTATTGTAGCACTGATATACTGCTTTGAATAGAATCCAATCAAACTTTCGGATACTGTTTTGTTAGTTAATTGGCAAAGAGAACGAAGAGCACGAAATGCGTTCATACCCGTCGCTCGAAAATCATCAAAACCAATAATTTCTGGTGTAGCACGTCCATCAACATAAGCTATCCATTCGTTAGTAATATAAACACTATTACATACTTCATGAAATGCATATTCGATATAAACAAATCTTTTATAATCGATGGATATTTTTTCACACGGACATACTAAAGTTGATGAATGATTTAAATATAATTTTGAATAGTCTTCGAATGTAGGCACTTCAATATTTTCAATTTTTGTGACGCTTTTTAGTGAAATATATCCAATAATGATTGCTAATGAGAGTATGAAGAAAAAAATAAATAATCTCGTTGATGTCCGTTCATTTTGAAGTTGAAATTCATTGATTGAAGGCGGTATTGATTGAAACAAGTTGAATGCAGATACTTTCTCTTGAAACTTACAAAGCCATGGGAGATTTTCCTGTTGAATATCATCTGCTTAAAAGAAAATAGTTTGTGAGTTTTATTTTAATAATATTATTTCAAATAGTAGCTGAACCAATTTGAGGTTTGATAATAATTTTTAAAATTAAGATATCGCAGTTTTACTAACGTCTCACATAGAAACAGCGATAGATAATTGGGCATTGACTTATTATTGGAACATCAATGAGCTTACCTGTTTGTTCATTTTGCGCTATTCTATTTCCTCTAATAAATCGAACGAATCGTGGTATAATTAGTTTCAAAACTGCAACTTGACCACCGATAAGACCAAAAAATGTAGTGATCATGTAAAGTATAGCATTTCTAGCTGTATAGCTCTAAGTACAGCTTATAGGTTTGCATGCATTGTAATAACTTTCATACATAATAGATTGATTCCATTCTTCAATCATTAGTTTATTTATAAGTTCGTGAATTGTTGAATTCTCAAAGAAGCGACTTGCCAACGTTGAATCAAGAGCGGTTACATTCATGAATGAATTATGTCGTATATAGAAATTTAATTTATCGATACATGCTTGCCTATAAAAGCATTCGAGAGTCGATTGTAATAATGATTCAAGCGGAAAACATCCAACATATTGACCTGTTACTGAAAATACCGTTGTTAAATTTGGATAACTGTAAATACCCGCTGTTTGAATACATTGAGCTGAATAACCACACTCACAACCGTCATAAGATAATGGTACGATATCAATAAGGGCATATTCACGTGCTAAAACTAGCAAAAAGTTTGTTTGTTTGGCTGAGAGCAAAGCATTGGCATGATTTGTATCGAGTACAATTTGTAATGACAATAAGAAATTATTAGCTGTTGAGGACACGAATTGATCAAGCATTGATTGGATTTGTGATTGAAATAAGTATGAAGGCGTTATTGTAGCACTAATATATTGATTTGAATAGAAACGAGTTAGACTTTCAGATACCGTTTTATTTGATAATTCACAAAGAGCACTTAGCGAGTGAAATATATTTGTACCTGTCCATACAAAGCTAGGAGGATCATAGGGTTGATTTTCAAAAGATGGAGCAATATGATTTATCCAATCGTCAGTAACAAAAATACTGCTGCACACTTGATGAAATGTATACTCAGCATTAAGAAACCTCTTATAATCGACCGATATTGTTGTACATGGGCATGTTAACGTTTGTGAATAAGTTATATATAATTGTGAATATACTTCGAATGTAGGTGCGCCGATATCGACAATCTTATTAGCTTTGATCAATGAAGTATACATAATAATGGTAGCTGTTGAGAGAAATAAGAGTAAAATAAGTAATCTTGTAGATATGCGTTCATTTTGAAGATCCGCGTGATTAGTTGAACGTGGTATCGATGGAAATAAATTCAAGTTTCGTAAAAACTTTACTGGTTTTCGACATAACTGACAAAATCGTTCGACTGTATTCATCACTGAAGTAGTTTAAAAAAAATAAATGAAAGTCTTAACTAGAGAAAAACTGATGATTTTTATTTTTCAATGGCATATATGTAGATTTTGTTTTAGATATTCTAATAAAAAAATAGCAAAAACTTATTGCAAACCTTTGAGTTTTGAATTCAAGAACTGATGCTACTAAGAATAGAAACAATACTTACACACATGAAAGTGATAAATATAAATCCGACAGTCTCTATTAATTGTTCAATACGTTGATCTTACATGGATCATATTCATTTATGGATTACCTACATAAAATATTATATTCGTCGCTAATGATTGATAGAACTATGGGTACTACTAATCATAAGATACCCTTGTTTTCATTGCAATTCCGAGCTAAAAATTGATTTAATTTTCTTTGTTTCTACAATTCGTAGATTAATATGGGAAAACTTCAAATTTCGGATTCCAAGTCCATTTTAGTAGATTATATGGGAGAAAACAAAGATCTTGAAGTATCATATGAGAAGTAGTCTACTAGTGGCAGCAGACAAACGAACAAAATTTTGCCCTGCATTGCACATTTTGATTCCATATATGTACTATGAATAATTACGTTGTTGCTCCCTATTCGCATAGTTTGGCAAGTTGTTTTATTCAAATATATAACACTAATTGTAACAAGACACATGTATCAACTCATTTCCTTTCGCTTGTTCAACTGATTTCAATTTCAATGACTATTTTTCATCGATTCCAAAAGCAGCATTGATTATCACACATACGATAGAGGTAATAGTCGATCATTACAAAATTTATTTAATGAAAAAGGAAGTTAAATAAGAATATTTTTGTGCTTTTTCCTCTACAGATTGGTAAAATAATCAGTGGAAAAACACAACAACTCAGTTTGCGCCATGTCAGACAAACTGATATTCAACAACACAACGTCGTTTCTCGTGTTCATACGTTCGATAACATGATACTTTCTTTATTCTTTTGAAACGGATATCCTCTTCCGGTTAATTTACGTAACAGGTTAGTGCATTATTTTTATTCTAGTAAAAAATAAAGCAATGTTGACAACACGTTATATTTTCATGTTTGATATACTTTCCATTTACTTCAACAGGATAGAATTTTTAATTAGCAAAAAACCTCGAGTGTGTGGCGGGGGGGGGGAGAGAGAGAAAGTGATTTAAATCACCTCTGAATCATGAATTTCGTTGAATATCTAAACGACTCTGTGATTTTTAACAATCTCTACATGTTTGCGACAAATTTTCATTTTTCTAAACTCACTCTAACTCACAGAATTTTCCATTCAAATTTAATCCTTTGATGTATTTGGCTAAATGTAGCTAAAAACGCTTCATTCTACTAATACATGAACATTGGTGTTAGAATTATCTGTTACTTTCCTTGTACTCTCTTTCGTACGATTTGTTTTATGAATTTTGGTGAAAACCAAATTGGCGTCATTTTTACGTCGATTTCTTGCAGTAAAACCTGAATTTCTTTAAAAAAATGAATGGCTTTGAGAAAAGACTTTGAATATTTCGTAAAACTCGAAACGATATCATTAAAATATTAGAAATGACTTACTTATTATCTCTTTTAGTTTTCAGAGAAGTGTTTATTTGCTATAGTTTCAGACAGCTACCAAAAGATGAAAAAAATTGTGCGTAGATCATTTGTTTTTAGAAAAACAACTTGTATGTTAGTGGATTTCGCGACTATTATACAGACGGAATCTGTAAAGAGTGATTCAATATTGCCAACTGATAAGATTCTATTTATATCTCGAGGAGAAAATAACCAACGAGTAAAAAACGTATCCGTGTTTAATAGCAATAACATGTAATTGAGAAAAATATTTTACTGCATGAAAATAAAAACTAGACATATTTATCAATAATTCAGCTGATGTACTTCATATGGATTAGGATTGTCTATTTCTTAAAACAAAAACAACTTCTCTGACAAGTAACCAATAGTAGGCTATTTTGAAACACATAGACTTAGTTAATTAAATAATATTAAAAAATAAAAATACTGATCTATTCTGCATGAGTAGGTTACAATCATAACTATGCTTTATCAATCCACTCACTGATAAATCTTTTTTTATGCAAATATTTTCGAAAATCACAGACAACATATGATTAATGCATTCACATTTGAGATGGGCATAGTCAAGTATTTTTTTATTTGGTAAAATAATATTGAAAGCCACACCCGTAGTTCAAGATCGTAATACGATTTTGTATTTATTTATTTGCTATTCCAAAAAAAATAAGAAATTGTACGCAACAACGGTAATAGTTACTAGCACATTTTTATTAACATTTCTACATGATCTGTACCGTGACATGCAATCACAATATCCAACCAACCGTCTTGATTTAAATCTGCGACTGCAATTGAATAAGGTTGATATCGAAAGCCTAGTGCGTAGAATATTTTATTTCCGAAATATCCATCACCGTATCCATAAAATAGAACGATATTGTTAGTACCTGCATTTGCAACAGCAATATCTGATATGCCATCATTATTGAAATCATTTATGACAACTGCGTACGGTTGAGAACCCGAACCAGTTGAATAAAGCATGTTAGTTACGAACATACCATTACCAATGTTGGTAAGAATAGCAATAGTATTCGTTTTAGAATTCGCAACAACAATGTCCAGCCGATAGTCATTATTAAAATCAGCTATGGAAAGAGAATATGGACCAGAGCCAATTCCAGTTGAATATGGTATGACAGAGTCAAAATTTCTATGACCAGATCCAAGTAAAATACCTACATTGTCAGTACCATAATTAGCTACGGCAATATCTGCTAGACCATCGTTATTCAGATCATCAATAGCGATTGATATTGGATGCGCACCATCGCCCATACTATGTGATGTTACGCCAGCATAGAGATCGGTTCCATGCGCAAGAAAAATACTTATATCATTTGATTTATAATTTGCAACAGCAATATCTAATATACTGTCCTTGTTAAAATCGCCAATAGCTAATCCGCACGGTGAAGATCCGATGCCAGTTCGATATGCGATTCCTAATAGAAAAGTTCCATCTCCGTATCCAAAAAGTACAACAATATTGTTAGTTCCGTAATTAGCAACAGCTATATCTAGTTTACCATCATTATTAAAATCACCAGTATCAAGAAATCGTGGAGAAGAACCGTGTCCAGTAGAGTATGTCGTAATAGGAGCAAAACTACCATTTCCGTATCCTAAAAAAATGCCAACATCATTCAAATTATGGTTACTAACGGCAAAATCAAGTTGATTGTCTCCGTTGAAGTCTCCAACAGTGATACAAGCAGGCCAAGATTGATAACCAGTTGAATAGTTCATTTGAGTGATAAAACTTTCCTTTTCATTGCCTAAAAATATACTGATACTGCTAGTACCATAATTACCGACAGCAATATCAATTCGGCCGTCACTATTGAAATCACCAGCAGCAATAGATTTTGGGCCCGAATCGATTCCAGTTGAATAACTGTACAAGGTACTAAAAGTTAAATTGCCATATCCAAATAGAACTCCTATAGTGTCGTGAGCATGATTTACCACTACAATATCTGTCCGACCATCTTTATTTATATCGGCTAAGATGATTGCTATTGGATTTGAATTCTCTCCAGTCGACAATCTTTTTGTGGTCGTGAAACTTCCATTACCACACCCAAGAAGAATAACTAAATCATCAGTACCTGCATTCACGACGATTATATCCAATCGTCCATCGTTGTTAAAGTCATGAGCAACTAAAGATTCAGGTTTTGAACCATTTTTCAATGCATGAATCATCATAATACCAAACGTTCCATTACCATGTCCGAGTAGAATACCTATTGTATGACTGTAATAAAAAGTAACAGCAATATCTAGATATGTATCATTATTGAAGTCACTAGTTAAAATGCTTAATGGTCTTCGTTCATTACGACTGAAGTATTTATTTTCACTTTTAAATAATGTGTAATTATATCGAAAAAGTATGCCAATATTATCTCTATTGGTATTAGCAATAACTAAATCCGATCTATTATCGCCATTGATATCATTGATAGCAACTGCCAATGGATATGAGCCATCCTCCGTTGAATACATCTTTGGCGTTTCAAAACTTCCATTTCCGTGTCCCAAAATTACGCTAATACTATTATTCTTAGAATTGATAGTAACTATGTCTAAATGATCATCTTTGTTGATATCACCAGTAGTAACATATAGTGGATAATGATCAGCACCGATAGATAGTGTTAGTTGAGTTTCAAATGAACTGTTACCTGAATTAAAAAGGACATCTAAAGTATCATGCCCTGAATTGACAACGGCTATGTCTACATGATTGTTATCTCTGAAATTACCGATAGTTATAGAATATGGTTGTGGAGCCGAACCAGTTGAATATTTTTTTCGATTAGCGAAGTATACAGCGTCGTATTCAGTTAAAACAGCAAGATTTCCTGTACCCCAGAGAGTAACAATAATATTTGTTGTGTTTTTGTTCTTCAATTTAACAGTAGTAACTGCATACGGACGCGAACCAAAACCAATTGAATACGTCTTTGCACGATGAAAATTACCATTACCATATCCATAAAAGATAATTACTTCATCATTCGCAATATTATTAACGACGAAATCGTAATGATGATCATGATTGAAATCAGCAACAGCGATGGAATAATGTGAAGAAGTAGAACCCGTTAAATAAAGTGTAACGTCTGAAAACGTTCCATCACCGTACCCAAAGAGAATACCAACAAAACCGCCATTTAAAGTTGAAACAATAACATCCATATAACTATCATTATTCAAATCAACAAGACTGATACCATTGGGACAAGATAAATCACCAAGAAAGTACTTTTGTACTGTAGCAAAAGTGCCATCACCCTGCCCAAGAAGGACAGCAATATCATCAGAACTGCAAATAGCGGTGATAATGTCCAAGTGCATATCATTATTGACATAGCCAACAACTACCGATAGCGGCTTACGCATAATATCAGTAAAACATATTGTTACATTTGTAAAAGTTTCATTACTGTCTCCAAAAAGAATACTTAAGCCGCCGAATCCATTATTGGCAGTGACAACATCTAATCGACTATCATTATTAAAATCTCCAACAGCCACCGACCACGGTTTAGAACCATGACCTGTAGAATAAGTTTTCACATTGGAAAATGTTCCACGGTCTTGTCCAAGAAGAATACCTATACTGTCTGAGCCATAATTAGCAGTGATAATATCTATTCGATTATCATTATTTAAATCACCAACACATAATTGTTTTGGAGCTGATTCATGTCCAGTGAAATATGTTGTTTCTCGTGTAAAAGTTCCATTATTATTACCGATGAGTAAAACTAAACTATCATTGTTAAAATTATTTACCAATAGATCGAATCGATCATCATTGTTAAAGTCATAAACAAAAATTGAAGACGACCGAGAATCCTTTCCAATAAAATAATTCTTCTGTCTTGTTAATGGTTTTATTACATGTTTACTAAGTATGAGTACATTATTAGTACCATAGTTGGCTATGGCAACATCTGATTCATTGTCATAATTAAAGTCTGCTACAGCTACAAAAGACGGATGTGATCCTGGTACACCGTCATATGTAGCTGTTTTAGTAAATGTTTCGTTATCATATTTCAGTAGAACATGTATGTGATTGTTGTGTGAATCAACAACAACAGCATCGAGTTGCTTGTCTTTATCAAAATAGCCGACGGTAATATATTCTGGATAAGAATGGGAGCTTATTGAGAATGTAGTTTGTTTTGCAAATGTACCATTCTCGTAACCAAAAAATATACCAATGTCACCAGTGCTAGAATGTGCGACCAGTATATCAAGATGATTATCATTATTTAAATCTCCAACAACAATAGAAGATGGATTCGAGTGCAGAGTATTTGCATAAGTGTTTTGACTGTGAAATTTTCCATCGCCACATCCGAGAAAAATGCCAATATTACTTGTGCCATAATTAGCTACAGCTACATCTAGATTATTATCATTGTTGAAATCTCCAATCGCTAATGATTGTGGACGAGAATCATAACCAGTAGAATAAATTATTTGCTTTTGAAAACTTCCGTCACCATTTCCAAGAAGAATTCCAATAGTATCAGTACTATTGTTAGCTACAGCAATATCCATTTTATTATCATTATTGAAATCACCGATACTAATAAAAATTGGACGTGATGAATCAAGCGAAAGTACATTTTGATTACTAAATGTTCCATTATTATTTCCTAAAAATATTCCAATGCTGTTAGAACCATAATTAGCAACAGCTATATCTAAATAATTATCGTTATTGAAATCATTTGTAACAAGTGAACTAGGGCGAGAACCAATTCCGGTTGAATATGTTTTTTGACTTGCAAACGTTTCATTATCGTGTAAAAAAAATATTCCTATAGTATTGGTACCAGAGTTTGCTACAGCTATATCTAAATAATGGTCATTGTTAAAATCACCGACAGCGATAGATCGTGGTTTTGAACTGGTAGCAATCGAACTTTTTTTCATTCGTTTGAATGAAAATTCACATTTTTTACCTAAATATGCATGAGTTCGACAGAATTATATCAATAGAAGTAAAATTTAGATGAAAATCAACAACCTGAACACATGAATACTATAACGATGTAGATATTCTATACGCAACTGTTGATATTAACAATTGAAAATCTTCTTTTAAAACTTAAAAATCTTTTCTCTGTGTGGTATTTAGAAGTATTTTTTGTAGTCTCAAATTTTTCAAAAATTAAATCCGACTATCTCATGTGAAAGCAAAACTTCGTTGAACATAACATACTTGGTCTAGGTGAAGTCAACGAAACTGTTAATATTGCGACAAAAATTGCTATGCTTGTAAATATTCCAAAGAGACAAAAGCGTTTGGTACGCTGCTCCACCAATGAAAAAATCCTTGCGATATAAAATAGAGAAAATGTTGATCTACATCAAATCAATGTAATAGATAAAAATACCTTTGTTTGAAAATAGCTCTTAATTTTTCCTTTGTTTCAATATCATTCCAAAGACTGTTCTGATGAGATATATTTCTGCATTGAATTGAATTCACCATAATTATGTTAGTCGATTCATGGAAATTAAAGAAAAATGTCACTAAATAAGAAAAAACAAGTCACCAACGAGAACTTTCATTATCAGTATGTTGTTTAACTGAAGCATAAAAAAGATCTAAGAATTAGACATATATTTTCCCGTACATGAATACTTGAAATTGACCGTATTTTTACGATGAATGAGTTTTCTCACACGAGAAAAAGGCTGTTGTGACGATACTTTGTCATGAAATAATATATATACAGGGAGAGACAATTGATAGAATCCATCATGATTCATTTTCTTGTTATTATTCTTGCAGATATAATAAACTAAAGTTTCTAAGAATTTCAAATTTCTGTATACCATCATGTAACACATGATGCCAGCTAAATAGTGTTGTAGCACAATTGCACCATAACTACGAAAATATATAGCTAACATTCATAGTAATACATTCCATTGAAAAATCCAGAACTCTTAATTTAGTGTTTGATTGTGCTAAGAATTTCATGACTTTCGGGCAAGCCTATCAGTCGATGTAGGTCAAAGTCTCTGATAAACTCACAACTCGCATCTTATTATTTTATCTGATGAATTGTGATTGATTCTGGTAGCTTTCAACGGATTCTATCTAATCTCATAGACACCTTTCAAAAACCATTATATCATATGCGAAGGTTATTTCATTAGTGGTAACCTCATGTCCAATCATATTTTGTTATTAGAGAAAACGCTAGTCATGTTAAGCAGATGAACTAGTCGGTGAAAATTGGAAAACTGGTCAATTCCATTTGCAGTTCTTTTCGTTGCTCAGTTTGCATCCTATTTTTCTAATTACTAAGATCAATTATAAGAGATAAATCAAATGTTTTTGACATGTTATAGATGATCTGAGCCAAGGTATAGATCAATCTTTTCATCGGAACGAAAAATTCGATAAACTACCCAGTGAAAAATATTACTAAAAAAGAACGGTAAAGAATGCGTTCCAAAAGAACTGAAGCTCTTTTTTTAAGAAAAGAAAACGTTCCACAACAAATGGAACGAACTAGAACGCATTCTATCATTGTAAGAATGTGTTTTTGGTCGTTTCGAAATGGAACAGTGAAGAACGCATTCTGCCACTTGTGGAACGCTTTCTCTTCTTTAAAACGGTTAACCTTTCTGATCAACTGGGTGATCATTAATAGATGAATCTACTATTAGTCAAAAGACTGTTCCTGATGCAACTTGACGAGCTCTATCGAATGGCGTACTCCAATACGTTGTAACTGAAACCGTTATTAAAATAATAATTTTTCTAAATCAGACCAAATATCCCTAAAGTAAAATCGAATGAAGATTCCATCATTTCTCACATCAATTTCAACCTGCTTTGCTTCAGACCTTTCATTTTAGAATGAAAATGTGGTTTGCTTCGAAAAGAAAGCATTCATCTCTTCAGAGAATCCATTGTCTTAAAGGCTCGTGAGAGAACGTAAAAGGAAGCTATTTTATTTCGATGAAATGCTATGTTAACCGTTCCGAAAGAAAATGAACTAGAATGAATTCTACTGGTTTAAGAATGATTCAGAATGCTTTCTCTTCAAATAGGGAACGATTTTTCAGTATAGAAGAAAGTATTCCATACTAGTGTGGAACGGTAAAGAACGAGTTCCTTTAGATCGAGAATATGTCTTTCTGACTCTGAACGCATTCGCTCAAACAAGGAACGCATTTTCTACGCAGGAAATAGGTTTCCATATCCGCATGAAACCATTCTATTCCGTTTTTTTTCGAAATATTTTTCACTGGGTAATAGTTCTAGGACGAAAATACGAGTATATTGTGAAGAGCAAACAAGCAAACTATGATGTTTAATTATAGATCAAAATTCAAGCTTAATTTTACAATATAAAAGTAGAATAACACATATTGAATAGATTTAATGAGTGAAAAATGTTCTAAGAAAGATATCGAAACTATTATCTTATTATTCTCTGATTTAGTGCAAATTTCTATCGCTCAACAATAAAGATATGTATGCAATTATGTTTGTAATTATCTCAAAAAATATTAATAAATCAAGCCAGTTGTTTTCTCTAATGTAATTATTTTTTGTTGTCTAGTGATTTGAAATGGGTAATGATGATTCGATTTTGGTTTCTACCAGCTGTAAGAAAATGTCATACGCTTGTTTATTTTCATATTTTGTTTTTCACTGAACATCAACTATACCTGTAGCTATTGATTCATTTCTTAATCAGTTATGATTGTTAAAGGTACAGCACGTTTAGTTTTCGTATCGAATACATTTTACGCTTGACTGAAATCCGTGTACTTTGGCTGTTATTGTTACTAGTGAATAATTTTGCGTTCTATCGCTATTACATTTATGTATGATTAGTATCCTTCGTTTTAATCTACAGAACACGTACCAACGTACGGTGAAGGTGGTTATTATAAAAAGCAAAGGACAGACGATAGTATCATCAAGGTATACTTGTATCTATCTCGCAAATTAGCTACTTCATATTGACGTATGTTCATGTGTCTTTTTTACTGCTTTGCTTCATCATTAACCTTCATGGATGTCCTTGCATTCAAGTCGAACTTTCTTCTCTTATTATTTGATATGAATAGGATCCCAGAAGACTGTAAAAGACAAATTTTTGTTTCTTATTAACGTATGATACACTTCAGTACAATTCTAAAAGCTTTTTTTCTCTCTGTAACAACTATCGATAGAACTGCATGATACCAATATAATACTCTAGCATCATGCGTCGAACCGAAATATATAAATCGCTAATATTTAAGAAGGCTTTCAAAGATGTTAGACGAATAATTTTGATGTGACATTATTCAATATACAGACTGAAGATATAACCAGTAGTCAAATAAAATTGTCCGTTTCATATTCAAACTACCGAAGGAGATTCGAATAGTGGATGTACTTGCATGCCGGTGTTTGTTATCATTATGATAGAAGTTGTTTCAAAAAGTCATCTGTCTCTGATGCAAAATGTGATTTTATTTCATAGCTAAACAAGCACATTTTAACATATAACATACACGGCGGCTTGAGTTGTGTGAGTTCGAATAGTAAAATGAAATTTAAAAACAAACATATGCAACGTAGCGGATTCGAATCGTTTGTTTTCAGCGTGTGTCGCACATGTTTTGTCATTGTTGGACAAAATGTGTCGTACACTGTGTCGCAAATCAGGTCACGTTAAAACTTCGTGCGTAATTTAATGATTGAAAATGAATAATAGATATGAGTAAATAGTCAATCACAGCAGTGCAATAAAACTATTTTGACAATTTTTAATGATTGAGAACAGAAAGAGAAATAAATCTACGAGATTGTGAAGTCAAGAACAAAAGAGTCGTTTCTAATGAAATTGTACTTCGATCAGACGTTGTTCTTACTAGTTTTGAATTAGTCTATTTCATCGAATGTTTTTGTTGGTTTCAACTTCGCCAACGGTTGGTTTTGACCGATTGAATTCTCAACTGAAAAACACCATAGACTCAAATATGATCCATTCTAGCTATTGAATTTTAGTCTAATTAATTAGTTTATTAGCGCATATATTAACTAACCACATACGAGTTTGGTAACCATCCGACATACGGCTGTCAACAGATGGCCATGTAATTGATCGTTACTAAAATCTTCTCACAACTAAACTATACTTGAGAAAGATGCTCTATACGAATTCTTAAATGTATGCATCTTTTTCGTAAGAATACGAACAAAACTTAACCAAAACGTATCGCCTGCTCTTAACAAGGATCAACTTTTAATCTTTGGAGAGTTCCGTACCGACCGCTTTTGTCAATCATCAATTTTGTTAGAATCTTCCTTCGGTAATTCTGATTGAAACTTGGTTGGACATTGCCAGCTGATGCAAATTTCAGTTCCGCTAAATGCTTCATGGAAACATACGCGAAATAAAAAAAAAAGACATTCATGAATGACTAGTCAAGAATAGCACTTTTTATTTCGCCCATTTTACTGCTCAATGAAATGTATATCTTGGAAGGAAAGTCACACCCAATCGTATGACTTGATCAGTGATATAACATCTGAAAAATTGCATGTATATATACTGTGCTATACTCATGTATTTATAGAACAGACAATGGCAACGTTACGAGCTGACGCTGATGTTCTAAAATGCAGTGCGAATATAAATTTCCATGAACGTCAATTGTCTACTCTTTCCAACAATGCACTGGCTACTTGGGGTACTGAACATTCAGGTGATCTCGACTATAGAGTGGAACTAGCACGTCGTATTGCTTGTACCTTTAATAATGCAGAACAACTGATTATTTTCGATGATATCACCATACAAATACTCTCATTGAGATCTGATAGTTTTGCCAATTTTCGAGGGTTCGATCGTTCACTTCTTCCTGCTCTTTGGCTATCAACTGGATTTCGATTGGGTGGTCGTATTCTCGTTTATGCACCACCGAACTCTGTTGAATTGCATGCTTATTTAAAACTGAAATACCTTATTGAACAACATTTGCAACGAGTAATACGCATTGAAATTCTATACGAACATTTGAATGGTAATCTTATTGAATTGATTCAATTATTTCAAGATAAACCAGAACAATATAAAACTCTATGCGAAGAATTTGCTCAACAAACATCTAAAGCCTTATATCCAAAATACCATATTGATATGTTAAAACGAAATATGGAAATAATTACAAAAGATGTTCAGCAATCATTTGTTTTTCCATACGATATGACTGAATTACATCGGAGTGAACTCCAAAAATATTCCGATCGCTTATCGTTACCGGACATATCGAATAATGATAAAGCTCGGCATCATTTTTTTCTAAAATCAAAGGGATTCGCAGATTTGCCACGACTGATAGCAGTTTCAGTAGATGGTTCGTTAATCAACACTTATGAAGAATATACAAACGTAATCAAACGTCCCAATATTTATGAGACGGTCAACTCTCCACGTAATATAGAGGTACTTATATGCGATCAAGAAATTAGTTGAAAATGATTGCTTTTTATTATTTCCATATGAAAGAAAACAATCCTATGTGATTCTCTTCTTCTTCTAGATCTTTGCTCAAGCTATCATAGAAGCAATTAATCAATTAAAACATAGGTTCAATTTATCCGCGTTCGTTAAATTAAGCTCCAGTGGTGCAGGTGGTTGGTCGTCTATGAGTCCAAGTGTACATTCAATTATCTACGATCTTGAGAAAGATCAACAAGAACGTTTGGTCTATTTGCAGCAATACATTCGAGCTACTATTACTGATGAATTGCTACCAGAGATGGCTGTAGTAGAAGAATTGATCGAGCCAGAAAAGCGACCAGGTGATATTGATGCGGATTATACCGTTTGTGGTTTTGTTCTTAGTGGAACATTTTTCCCTACATCGATTAATCTTTGTGGAACAGAAAACGGAGCATACATTGAACAAGTAACTTTGAATATGGAATTTCATTTTTCATGTTATATTCACATTTCTCTTTTATTTCACAGTGGACTTCATCGTTGCCGACTGGCATGCATGATTCGTTGGCAAGTTGGTCGAAAATGTTTCGGATCTATTCACAGATGGTGGACTTGGAAGCCACCGAATTCGGTTATAGGAATGGAATCTATGCCGGTGATTTGTTTATTACGAAAGATGCTCAACTAAAGCAACGTGATTGGAATATACGTCGCGGCGGACGATCATCCCCTGAGACACTGATTATCTTCGGCATGCCAAACTACGAGACAAAAGTGACTTTGCATATGAGTGATCTAGGACTAGATGGCAAAATGAATAATTTAGAATTATTTCAGACCTATACTCATATATGTGCTCAATTATCAAAAGACTACGGAATATATACGTTTTCATCGCCTTTTGGATATTTTGGTAAAAGTAGCGACCACGGTGATACTCTTAAATTTCAACTTCTTATTCATCCAAAATTCTTAGTGCAACTTGATGAAAATGGAGAAAAAAACCATTTAAACAGGCGTCAACATCGCAAAAAAGTAATCGAACTTGTTAAAAGCACTGCCATGAAGATTCTTCCAAGTGGTCTTGTTGAATATTAACCAAGTGTTGTATTTGCTTTCTTTTTCAACGAAACACAAACATACTTTCACTGTACACTGATTTCTCGTGTTTTTGGCAAATTTCAACTGAAATAAAAAAAGATTCGTATAATCGAGACAATTAAAAAATAAACGATGGAGTATACTCTATTAACTTTTCATTTGGAAAGATATCAAACACGTTTTTTTCTTGCTAGAAATAAAAAGAGTTATGTGAACTAACGAACGACATATCGACGAAATAGCATATGTGAATATCAGTCCAGTTGCGAGTTTTCGTCTATTTCATAAACTAATGAAATTCTTAAATGTTTACAGAGAATATAAAATTTATAGTTGTTAATATGTGAGGATGTTTACTTTGATTTCACTCAATCACACTAATATTCTTACTCATCAATGTATAATGTATTTTTCAATAATGCTATATCCGACATTGGCTAATCCAAATAATTTCTTGTTTTACACCAAAAAAACGTTTCACACCAAGATATTGGTTAACTCGATGAGAATAAAAAAATAATAATTGATCTTCAATGGAGTATATCTGAGATGTTTTTAATCAGTTATAGTATCCGTTTCTTAATAAGGAAGAAAAAAAGTCGAAGAGAATGTTTTCATTTCTCGTATTTATCTTCCCGGTTGGTGATAGAAATAAATATCTAGGTAACGAGAATTGATAAAAACCTAAAAACAGGAAGCCATCTCCAAAATCTCAATAAATCCGTTTAGTATATTACGAGATCGTATCTTTTATCAAAGAAGAAAAGGAGTCAATTGATTATTGTTCCATATCACACAAAAATAAATTCATATTAGAAAATATCAAATTTTAGAAATATATAAAATCCATGCAAATAAGATTTATTAAAAATAAGTAAAAAAGTTTAAAAAAATATTTTTATATTGATTTTAGAATTGTGGAATTTGTTCGCCTATGGTCAGATCTAAATAAATATCATAGACATGAAACAAAAACCAAATTGTGATTTTTTTTTAAGAATACGAACATGAATTTAAATTCCTCGGGTAAAGCAATCTGTTGTTGTCTCATACGATGTAATTGTTTTTTTAAGTCTTGTGCATTTCTTCCATAGCCATTAAAAATTGAATCACCAAAAATAACTTGCCCATGTTGATAAATAAGAACAAAACCTGGTTGAACATGATGACGTCGAACAAGTAATGGTCCATATAATGAACTTTGTTTTGTCGCCCCAGCTAAATCGTATATTAAACATCGATAATCGTCATTTGTTGATAAACGACAAATAGATATTTGACTACGACCATAGTTAAGATGTTGATGTAATGTTTGAAGAATTTCATATAATTCATTTGATTGTTGACTTTGATCATATTCAGTCAGACGAAGATTTGAATTTATTATGCCAATTACAATTAATTGTTTAGGATTGATTTGGCCTGTTGATTCAATAAAGGAATCGAATTCAAGATCATGAATTATTGGAATATGATCAGCACGACAAATACAAGTATCATGTAATATTGTTGATGTTGGACCATCTTGAATGAGACGTTGACGAAATACATTAGGACATGCAAATACAAGTTCAGCGGAAATTCCGATACGAGGTGATGTAAGTTCTTCATTAGTAGATAGTGTACCAGGCACTCTAAATAGATTTTTAAAAAGAATTTATTGATATTAATTTTCAACAAGTCAATCTATTTTCAGCATCATAAAATGAATTCTATTTGCGATGAGGCATCTTGCAGAAATCTTTTTTCATTACTTTTTAATAGGGAGACATTTATAGAAATATCAGATCGTTGTCTACTATATCTAAACCAAAGATACTATTAAATATTTCTGAAGCATTTTTCAAAGGCTACATATGATGACACCATCACAGTAAAGATTCTAGACTATTTTTCTAGAAAATTTGCTACCTTATGTAGATTATTTTTTTTTTCTGTTTCAAATATGAAACTGGTGATATTCATGAAAATAAATCTCGACAAAATAAGAATGAGTAAATTCAACGAATGTCAACAATTGTAAAATATGTTTGAATTAGAGATAGGATGTTTGATCTAGAATTCTACGTTCTGATACATGCGCCACCAGAGAAATTTGAACTTACTTGATAGAAGGCAGAGTTGTAGATGGACGTTTTTTTTTTGAATAAAATTTTTGTTTCATATTTTTTCCACTATTCGAACGAGGCATAAATTGCATAATCGAATTTTCAATAATATTCGCTAAAAAAATATCAATGAATAAGTTCGTTGAGAAAGAAAACTATCTTACGTCGAGCTCTTTTTGCGGAGTGCGTTCGTGTGATTAGTTCTCTTTCACTTGGTTGAAGAAATTCATTATTTATTGACTCATTTTTGGTTACTATTGTCACGTGTCTTGGTTGTTTTGCACTCTTACTTGCATGAGATTTAGTAGTGGGAGCTATTAAATGTGTTGATATTGGTGGCCAATCAGGTAAACAATATGCATCAATATCCATAACACCTTAATGATAGAAAATTGCATCGTTAGAAATACTAAGGTGAAAATTAAATGCATTACGAGAGGTTCGCAATAAAAAGGTTCGGGATAAAAAATTATCTTTATTAAAGAAATGAAATAGTAAAACCTAATGTTTTCGTTTTCTCTAAAGTTAATCATGGCTAGATTACAAACATGTTTTTTCAAATTTAAATATAGATTAATTCGTCTAAGATGAAAGAGAAAATAACATGAAAAGATTTTCAAAAATTGAAAATATTTCATAGCGAAAAAAAGAATTGAAGAAGTTTTGATTTTCTCTTTTACCTAATGTTTTTCGACAGAGTTTAAGCCATTCATTACAAATATTTCTAATGCGTTTTCTTAAACTAGTTAATTCTTTAATCATTGGCAGTTCTCTCACATTAACTTGCCCATCTAATAATCGTTCGACTTGCATTTGTTGTTTTTCTGTAGCACCTGTTGATGGATTCCAATTCGATGGAATCATTGGCAATTTAGGTTTGGATTGCATTCGTTTGTCCGTAGAACTCTTTTTCGGTGAACCAATAGGTCTTTCAGCTGGCGTCGTTGCTGTTGTTTGCATTGATACATGAATACCTAATTGAAATTTGAATTCTTCTTTTTGACAAGCAAATGCAAAACGAATATTTGATGGATTCGCATATTCAAGTTGCATATAAGGATTTAATTGTAATTGAACAGTACTTTCAAGTAATGCTGGAAGAGCATCATCGTCATCATTCGTTGTAGGGTCACCGCATGAAGCTGACGGCGCTCCATAATTATTTGAATGCCATTGAAGTTGTTTTTCAATCATGCCTACTTTACCATTACATAAATAACCACGCTCATGTTGATTATCAGTTACAAAACGAGCATGAAGATTTGGTTGCATTACAAGAACACTACCGTTAGATGTTACAGCACCGAGATACTGATGATCTGGAGAATCAGTATCATCATAAAATAATACAATCGGATTAGGTGAACGCACACGTATGACAGCTAAACGACCAGATGGATAACTAAAAAGAAAAATAAATTAAAGAGTTTATCAGAAAATATTAAAGACAGCTTCTCTGCTTCTCATATCCATGCGAAAATTATCGAAAAGCTGTTTTTTTACTTGATATTTTTTTATATACTTTTTACTTTTTCCTAAATCAAATCTTTCTATTAGAATGCGTTCAACGTGATATAAAATTATTTCTAATATGCAAGTTTTCTTTTCTTTATATTGAAAAATTTCAATTCATTTCAGTAAATTAACTTAAATCTATTCGTTATTCGAATCATCGTGATATTTTCTTTTACAATTGGCCCAAGAACTCTACACATATGGCTTCTCATTATTGGATGATGAGTGTCAAATTCACGAATCTGAACAAAAATAGATTTACAACACTTAAAAAATGTGCTTATGTATTTCAATATTTTACATATAGATACAGTTCGGATAAACATAATCCATACGTTTTGAAAAATATAGTTTGATTGATGAAGAAAAAAAAATCAAATAAGAGTAAAATATTGTACACACAAATGTTTATTTGATATCAACACAGAAATCTACATTTTATCGCTAGAAGACTAGTTTTCATCTGATGTCGACTCTTTAAAAAGCATAAATAAGAGTATTGGATAATCATTTCTAAGCAATCAGGACATCGAAGTTTTTTACTGACTCTGTTCATCATATTTATTTATTTTCTGAACTAAACTTTGAATGATTGATATTGCTGATTTAATATTTATATTGACAATATATCTTTATTCATATCGATTTTTATTCGTCATCAATAAATATTTTTCAAAGTACATGCACAATTTCTACTCTAATCTTATGAAAATTCAAATAAAAGAAAGAAGAATAAATATTGAAGGTATGCAAATGTAACATTTTCTTTTTCTCTTTCTTTTTCTTTTGTATTTTAATTCTTATAGGGTTTCCTTATACTTTTTTTTAACCTAAAGTTTTGCTTAGTTTCCCTTTAAAAAATAGCATTTGGAAATGAAAAGAAAACATTGTGATGAATGTCATTCCACCATAACAAAGTTCATCTGCCTAACATTGCGATACACAAGCATTGAATGCAAATATTATTTTCTGACTTACTAAATTTGTGATGAACCATCAAGCATTTCTAAGTAACATTTATTTTTTATTTGTGGTATTTCAATTTCAATGTGAAATTTTTCAGGAATTTCCTTTCGTAATATTGAAAAGATAAATTTTGACCTTTGCCGTCCTATAATTTAAAGAAGCAAAATCTTATTTTCTGTATGTTCATTAAATAAAATATAACAAACGAGCTGTTTCATTTAAAGTTAATAAATTCGCTTTATTTCGAACAAGATGATTGTCACCATAAAACCAAATTTTACACATTTTAGGATTTTGTATAGTTGAATCTGGCACTGTTGCAAGTCTATTGATGAAAATAGAAAAAACAAAACGATTCATAAACAAAAAACAAGCAAACAAACAAACATTCTTTGTTTTGTTTCAGCTAAAAGACGTTTACATCTTGTTTGAGTTAATGCAATAATATCTTCGTGTACATCAACAATTGGCTTCGGCACGTCAAACATGACACCTTAATAGAAGAATATTTCCTTAGATTGTAAAATAACAATACACAGCGTACCTTTTTGTTCATTTAAAGCTTGTATTTGTGATTGTTGCTGTTGTTTTGATTGATCAATTTGTGTTGACAATTTAAATTCAATACGAATACCACTTTTAATTGATTCAGTTAAACTTTCTAAACTACCTTGATGAATCGGCTTAAGTACTTTAGTATAATCTGATGGTGACATATTATTTGTACTTAAAAATGATACACGTGATAGTGAACGAATAGTACGCACAGGAGGATTTAATGCGAGTGATGGTTGTTGACGAGCAACATTGACGGCAGAATTCGCACTCATACGAGAGTTAGCTCGACGACTATTGCCTTGTTTACTTGCCATCAATGCTCGATGTTTTTCAGCATTGGCTTGTTCTATACGTTTTCGTTCAACATACCGACGCCAATTATCTTCACCAGCTTTTGTTTGCCAAGTCTATCAACGGAAACAAAAATGAATATGTTATTTTAGCTTTGCTAAAAAAAATGATTTCAAAAACAAACTTTATATTTATATTCAGTATCCTCAATAAGATCAGCCCATGTGGAATGTAATCCAATAATTAGCGAGGCTGGTAAAGAGACTTTAGGTGCATTGGATGTTGCAGCCATTAATTCATCTTCATCATCGGCTTCTTGGATCTGCATGGCATCGGGATCTTGTTCATTATCAGGAAGATTTGATTGAGCAGATTTCGGAGCTATTGATGATGGCATTTTCGATGTCGATGACGATACAGCTGTTTTAGATTTATCTTCAAATCGTATAAATAATGAATCCAAATCTTTAAACAATGCATCGGGAATTATGGGTGCTTTTAATTTCCGTTGAATTGTGCTCAAAAGAACTTCATTTGTCTGTCTGCCAAGTTGTTGTTTAACTGGAGTAGGTGTATGGTTAATAGTACTTGCTGGCGTTGCTGTTTCTGTTTTAGCTGGTTGATCATCTTCTGCAGCTAAAGCTACTCGAACATGATGTAACGCTTGATTTAATTCTTCTGGATGTCGCTTATATCTATGTACACCGCCAACATGAGACGCACCAGTATATTGGTCGTAAAAATAAAGGTCGCGACTCATTTGATATCTCAAAAGAGGCAATAAAAAGAATTTTGTTTAAGAAAAACTTTAATTCAAATAAAACAGTTGGCTCCATTGTTTTTTAAACATACCTCATAAGACCGTTTTGGGAACATTGTACACTAGTTTCGTGTAAAGTAAGAAACAAAAGATCTACATCGCGAAATGAAGATGATTTCATGTTTTGTTTTCTCTCGTTGTTTTATGTTGCATGAATGTGCGCGTAGAACAAAGAAATGAAATACGGCTTCGCACAATACTCAACAAAATTAAATTAATTCAGGGGGCTCATTCTTTTTTTCATCTTCGTTACTATGCATATTCAAATAGAAACATTATTTGTCCAACAGAATTATTTCACAAATATTATGATGGAAATATTCAAATGTTAAGCTCATATTGAAGAACCCTGGGTAAAAAACGAATTTTTTCAACGAGAAGAAATAAATCAAACTATGCCAACACACGAGTACAAAGGTTTTCAATAAAAATCAGTAAGCATTTTAGAATATTAATATTCAAAACATTGCAGAGAAAAAAAAAAGAGTATTTCGTTTTTGTTCCATTTATAGATATAATTCTAGTAAGAAATTCAATTCATGGAAATGTCTAGCTATCTGTTGGAGATACTTGTGTCAAGTAAGATTTTTTATTTAAAATACATTACCCACGAAATAAATTATAGTATAAAATACGAGCAAATTCAAAACTCGAGAGAAAATAAATCTATTGTAATATTTTAATAAGCTTGAGTGCAACTTGATAAGTTCTATTTAGAAAATCTAAATAGTAAATTGAACTGAATAGCTCTATAAAAACTCATTCAACGTAACTAGTTTTGGTAATCAATGAAATATTTTCTTCGTCTTTGCATTCACTGTAAAACAAATGAAAGAATTATTTATTGTTTTCTATTTAAGTTTCATTATGAAAAATACTTCGTTTGAACCGCTGGCTAAATAGTCCCATTTCAACATTCCTTTCGTCGAAAATTAACGTGCATACATAATAAATGCATTTTCTGACATCAACAAAAATAGATGTGCTGAAAAATTTCGATTTTATGAAAAATATTTTTCATCAAAAGTCAATGTTAAAATGAAATATTTTTTAATTAAATCTAAACTGTAGAATTCGAGTGTTTATGCTGATGCCAAAAATCGTATTTACTTTGTATGTAAACTAGATTCTAATAAGGAAAATCTCAAAGTATGACTGCTTTACTGGCAATTTAAAAGAAGAAGGTTTTCTCAACAAACATCATCTGCAAAATAAGGAGAATGCAAAAAATGTCTTTGTTAAAATTATATTGAAGCGTTTAAAATATGCCATATACTTGCGAACTAGTGAGAGTATATGCTTTTAAAGCTACTATAATTTTTACTGGATATTTTAGATCTATGGATCTTCAAAAGCTTGTAGAAATCTATCGATGTTGCTGATATCTTACTAAAAAAAGAAAATATCTAGTCATTATTAACTATTATTCGAACTTTTATTTTCCTAATTGAAAAATATATGAATTTTGTTACGATTCTAAATTCTATTGACAAATGATTGTATCAAAAGTTGAAATCGAGACAAATGTTTTCGAGAAATAATTAATAAAAATAAGTTCACTGAAGATGATATTTAAGATTATGATAATTAGTGTCGATTATCTAGATTAGTTTTCTATCTGTCGTTTAGAAAAAAAAATCTATTTTATTTACTGTCGAAGGAGAGAAAATATTTTGATCTACCAGTTCGGATTATTTGAAATGCTTGTAGTCTGGATCATTTGAAAAGCGATTTTATATTCATGAAGAATTTCTTACGTCGATGATGATTCAACATAAGATAAGATACCTTTAAAAAACATCTAAAATATGACAAATACTTTATTTTAACTAGACAAGATTTTATTTGTATAGGTGAAGGTCTTCAAAACGATGTTAAATGTCGAGTTTCTATTTTACAAACAAGTTAACTTGTCGGTTAACAATGTTATTCAAATTTTTTTTCTTTTCTTTCTTTTCTTACTTGAATCACATTCGATTTGATAAAAAAACGGACATACTAGAGTTTGTTTCTATGGTTATTAACATATCTATTTTATCGATCAACAAATCTCAAGTAGCAGCATTGAACAAGATCTTTTTTTGTTATTGATCTTTACATTTCAGTAGAAAGAATGAAATAGGAAAATTACTCCAAGAAGAAAAACTCCGAGTATGACCAGCTAATCTATCTTCGCTACCTCAAAACCCGACATCTATGTTTATCTGTAATAATTCTATGAGAATATGAAAAATTGCACAAAGCGTCAAATAGACATTGCATATTTGATAAAACTCTAAAATTGCTTTTAAAACCAACTTTTGTGTTAACGAATGGCAAATCAAATAAACCTATGTTAAATCAGTGAAAAGAAGATTAGCGGATCGCTGTTAGGATTACCTGTTTTTGTTGAATTCCATTATAAACTCAATTAATTCTTTGAATAAACGGCGAAGATATACCTAAATGATGGCATGAATAAAGTTGAATGGAAGATTTTGGTCTACTATTGAAGCCACTTGCTAGATAGTCAATTGCAAAGACAAATGAGAAAGCAGAAGAAGAAGAAACAGGAAAATACCTCTGCCTTTTCACTGTTTTTCTTCTAGGAGTTCATTGCCTATCAATAGACGCAGCAGTCCGATATCTTTCCTACAATTTAAAATATTTGCCACTCCAGTAACAAAACTCAGTGTAACACTAAATGCTTAAGGCTCATTGGACTCTCGTTTCACTAAATATTAGCTAGATGATTTATTCATTTGTATAGGATAAATTTTATTATTCTATGATTAAAATATTATATATTTTCAAGAAGCGAACCAGCATTGATGTTACAGAAAAATCTGATTAGCTCATATTTAATTGTAAATCGCAAAAATAGACTCACAATAATCTTCAAGTTTACTTTCGTATTTACTCAATATGAAATTTAATAGGATATTTTTCGCTGCTATTATTCATAAAATCATTTGTATGGATATTCCTAAATCTCTTGAACTTGTCTACGCTTTCTATAACATTTTTGGCTATTCTATTTTAATAGACATAGACGAATCCAATCGGGTGTAAGACAAAATCAATATTTTACATAGAAACCTAAGATTTCAAAAAATTAATCTTCAGTAATGAAGTTTGTGATCAGTGTAATAGGTGAGAGTTGTCGTCTAAACATTCAAATATATTTTTAATGGGGATCCATTTATACTAAAATAACATGAGAAAAAAATTAAATTAAACTTGTGCATGAAAACAGGATATTGTCTATCATATCTATTGATTTTTCAACTAATCATTCACATCATGTAGAGCTTAACGAGCATTATCTGTATCACATTGAATATTAATCATCGTCTGCTTCTCTTCTACTGGTTTCAAACCATGATTCTAATAGTTTTTTGTTTCTTGGCTCAAATCGACATTTGAATGGCTTTGGTTCTGCAACAAGACCAGTGTGAGATTTGTTGGCTTCCATTGCGCCTAATACTGCAGCATTTTTTGGATCTCTAGGTGGAAGAATTCGAAATGCTGAAATAAATCGAATAAAAAATGTAAAGAGTTCTCGATTTGCTAGATGTGAGCCAGAACACATTCTACTTCCAGCTCCGTAAGCAAAATGAGGTGTACCATCAACATCAGCTAAATATCGTTCAGGATCGAACGTATATGGATCTTTATAATGATTTTCATCATAATCACCGGCAAATGCATTCATATAGAACAATGTTCCAGCAGGAATGATCACTCCATTATAGTTTATATCACTGATACTTCGTCGAGGTAGACACATTGTAATAACTGTAAAATAACGAAGAATTTCTTTGTAAAGTGCAGTGACATATGGAACTTGTTCTTCAACAAGACACTTTTCCCATGCATCATCATTCGGATAAGTCTCTTGAATTTCTTGATATGCACGTTCTTGAATTTCTTGACCATGTGCTGATGAGAGATAACCAATAGCAAAAATGATATTTGCTGGAACTGTGTCAAGACCAGCACTTACCATCGTAAGGCAAATACTTCTAATTTCAGCTTCATTCAATTTTGCTGAAGGATCTTTTAGAATATTACCAGTGATACATGGTTTATCTGTGCCATTGGCAATATCTTTCTTTAGACCATCTAAAAGAAATTCAAGATACCGATCTCTACGAACTCGATAAGAGTTAGCTGATTTGGATTTAGCTGGAAACAGTCGAAGAAGTGGAATATAATCTTGCCAATTATTTGATGTAGATCGTAATCGTGAAATTGCTGCTTCAACTTCTACAATTTCTTTGAGAAGGCTGTCAAATGACGAAGAAAAACGTGTGCCATAATTAAGCATAAGCGATGTATTCAGAGCAAACCGAAGAAGATGAGGAATGATATTAATATCGACTTGTCCATCTTTGCATTCTTTATAAATTTCACTTATAGCTGAGTATGATTCTGTATCAATGATTGGCATGTACGTTTGTACAGCAGGTTTATTCAATGCTGTTGCTGCTGCTTTACGACGTCGTTTACACGATTCATCCCATGGAGATGTTCCAATAGTGAATCCCTGACTACTACTAACAACAGTATGAAATGTATGCAGCATAGGTCGACTGATCAATGCGGATTGATTTCTGATCCATAATTCTCTAATAGAGTCAAATGAATTTGCCACAACAATACGTTTATTTCCCATTCGAATTTGAAACACAGGACCTAATCTTTTAGCCATTTTCAACAGTGCAAGAGAATGATTTTCTCCCAGTTCCAATAGACTTCCAAAAATTGGCCAACCTGAGGCTTCTGGAAGGCCAGAAATTTTTGGAACATCTGTTGAATTGAGAGCTTTGAAAAGAAGCCATATGATAATAGCAACACTAATCCACACAACGAAACTCATGGTGTTTAAATGATGTGAAGGTGCACCCTTTTTTCTATCGTTATTATTGATGAAGATAAGATATGTTTTCACTTCTTTTTTTTTTATCACGTCAATATATCCTTTTACAGCTGCGTCATAGTACAGCTTGCAATCTTTTTTTTTTCTAGGTCACTTTTTTTTATTAAATGTTAAGCTCGACAGGATTCGTATCTTTTTCATTCTTTCATCGAAACAAAACATGTCACTATTTATGTATAGAAACAAACGCAATTCGAAGCGTAGTATATGCATAATAAATCGTAATATGTATATTTTTTTCTATTGTTTTTAATAGTACTGTATTCTCTTGTAGCAAGATATATAATGTAAAAATCAAAAATTTGATCAATTCAATTAATATTTTAGACCCATTTGTAAATTTCTTATGTTTGGTGTAGGTATCAATAGAATTCAGTAAAACAATTTTTTCAACCTTTTCGATACGAAGTTTTATTCGAGCTTTATAGTTAAACTAGTTTTGTTGATAGTGAATTGAATTATCTTCCGATGCAAATTTCACTAGTAAAATATTATCGATGATTAATTTCAATGTATAAGTGGGTGGGTGTATCAGAGCCGTGATATATCCATATAGCCATACTAACTTTCACCTCGCACTCACACCTACAAAAGTATAGTGATGTTGATGATATTGATATGACTTGAATCTCTTCTAGTGAGGAATCTGAATATGAATGCGGTGACAACAAGAGATAAATATCACATGGAATTACTGATTGTGATATGGTTTCATTTTCTTGTTGTTGTTGGTTGTTATCATTGAAGGCACGTGTTTGCTTGAAAAACTTAGTAAATCAGAGGATATACATTTCAGTCTAAAAAATGGTATTTATTTGTTACTGTAAAGCAGGCATTTCTAAATATCTACATCTCAGGTCGATGATTATGGGTTTCGTAGACAACTGTAAAAGCGCATATGCGATCGTATACGAACAAATACGGGCCAAAATAGAGACCGTGTGGATTCGACCTGGAATGATGATTAATCAGTTAGATTTTGATCAGGTTCATTTTAATGTAGATACAAAATCGTTTGTTTAATTATCATTTTTGTGAATGAATAAATCATTATGCTATATAAAACCAAATACAATTATTTGTATGCGATACTCAATTACGATCAAACGTCATGGCTCTTTCAAAGATATCAATTCGTTTTTGTATAGAATTTACGGTAATTTACCATACTCTTGCAAAGTTTGATGTAAACAATCAGTATTAGTCTGTGTCATGTTTCCTGAATTACCGATAAGCATCATAGATTATTTATAATGATCTTCAAGAATCGTTTGATCATAGAAACCAATAATATTGTTTGGGAGTGGAACTCTTTGGTGCATATATCTGAATATATTTGTTGTTGCCAGTAGTCTTATTTTATAATATTAAGTTGCATTTTCAAAATTGACTGATATTTAAACAACGAAAATCAAATATTTTCAAAACGAATACATTCAGTCAGTTGTTTGACTACTAATTTTCCATGTTTTAATTTGTTCAATAACTTGAATTTGAAAAACTGCTCTTCTTGTCCGTCCAACAGTGTTGATCGACCAGATTAAATTAATCAACTATCAGACAAAAACGATCCAATCTATTGTATGATAGGCTCTTGCAGTTCATCTAAACATCATAGACATATTGATAAATCAAAATGTGTCCTAGACTAGAAAAACAAGGAGTGACCTGACAAATATCATATACAAAACAGATATTTATTGTATTTGTAAGCCACTATCGAGGTAACATGGAAAAAATTTAATGTATATCCTGAACTGATTTAACATATATTTTAATTATATTATATATGCAGATTAAATAAGACAGCTTCTGTTCATGAAATAAAACTGAAAAGTTACCTTTTCACTCGAGAGAATTATTTCATTCCAATCCTATGTATTTTGGTGGATGGTAAATATTAGTTTAGTGCAGATGTATACGCCATAAAACTTAAGAACAACGTTCGCCATTAAAGATTCTATAACTAAAATTTCCTATCTATATGGATTAAACTTTATTAAAATTATTGATAGACACACATAAAAGCGATATGTAATACTGTGACTGATCAACATAAGTGAGTAGAAAATTTAAATAGATCAACATGAAAGTAAATATTTTTGATAGATTAATTATTCTTTGAAACAACTGAAAACAGCATATATTCCTAAAAAAAGAAATAAATAATCAGAAAATATCCATTTGAAACAGGAAAAGAAAACTTACAATAAGAAACAGGGCGGCAAGTGACAGAGCTTTGATTTTGACATCCAGATCCATCGGAACTAGAGAAAAACAAATATTCAAAGAAAAAGTTTAAATTGTTAACAATATGTTTACCTGTTAGGGAAAATGCGTCGGCACTTGTTGTTACTTCGTGAAGGTATCCACGATATCTTTTATGAATAGCACCGATTTCAGTTTCTCCATCTGTACCAATCAACTTTAGATAAATAAAATCAGAAGAACAGTATAGGAAAATTCTAATTTAAACAATGAAAACATTACTTACGACAAATTTATTTTCGCAGCAACAACTACATCCCCCATCACAAATTACAAGGGGACTACGTAAAGTAAGAATATGATTGTCCTGTTCATCTTTGATCGCAAATATAGATCGAAAATAGCTGCCTCTCAACAATAGATATTTAATTAAATCCAGAGTATTTATTTTCTTGGAGAAAACCTTACTGTTGTGATACAGTACCAATGAACGTTCCAGGTGGTGATTCAACTGTCACTTCTTGACTGCAACATTGTGCACCAGCACACCAACAACATCCTGAGCAACATTTGAATTCACGTTTAATAAGCATAATATTCTAATTAATTATTGTCAAATAAACTTTCGTATGAAAATTAATTCAATGAATCTCACAGACTTGATTATTATTATCCATAATGTTCAATTGAAAACATCGTTTGGATGTGCAACAGAAACGTTGAAAAAATGTTGAAGCTTTTCGAATTGAGTATAAGAAAAACATTTAGCTCAATATTATAATTATATTCATTTACTTTCCAAAGCTTGTAATATTCGCACATTTTTATCATCATAAATATCAAATTTCGATTCAGATGCAATACCAAATATAACTTGAATGGTATACACAAAAAAGAAACCGGAATCGTAAATTCACTAGCTAGTTTCAAATGAGTTACCTTCACTTAATGAAGGACGCTGGCTCACATACAATTGATCAATTGTTCTTAAAAACTCTAATCCAATCGTAGAACTCGATGTTAAAGGTAACAAGGATGCTACTTGATCGATATTTGATAGATGAATTTTTTCTTCAGATTGTTTGACACTCATTATTACGAATTATTAACACGACTGATAAATTGATTCTATCTAAAATATTCAGCATTAAATGATTACGTAGCGAAACTGATTTTTCTTTTTCTCTTTCATAACGTTTAAGAATCGAACCTTGAATCGATCGGTGACAAAAATGCCCATTTGAAGCAGAAAATGAAAGTCAAGTAAAAAATATTTACCTACTTATTACGAGAAAGGTACAAAAAAGCACATCATCACTCAATTTAAAACAATAATCAATTCTTTTTTTTAAGTTATGAAATTGTCATCATTAATTGCAGAAAAAATGTTAGTTACTATGACAAAAATGATTTTGAAATAAAGACACTTTCACACTTACGAGATGCATGTTCTCTTTGTTTATGTTCATTTGTACCTGAATAGTCAGAAATACGAAAGCCACATGTTACAGCGACCCTCATTTATTAACCAGGCAATAAATAAAATGCTATTGAAATGATGGAGCAGATAGTAGTTTTAATGTATTTCAATTTCATGTATGAAAATAAATATTTTCATCAAAATAATTTTCTGGCCTTGATAAAATAATAAATTCTTGTAATTTACTCTACTAAAAGGTACATTTTTATGCATGAGATTGAAATACATCACAAATAATGTCCGTTTCATTTACCGAAATGACATTTTGTTTCATTTTTCCGACCTAAAATTCATGCAAATGAAGGCATTTTTTATTTCCTGGGCAGAAAGAAAAATAAAAAGAGATAAAAGTAGCTGTTAACATATACCTACATCTCTAAATACAGTATATTTTTTCAATAAAGTAAACATACATGGAATAAAAAAGTTTACAGACATACGTACGTGACAATTCATTTTTCTAATGACAATGAGAATAAACCTGGAAAAATTCTAGTAAAAAAGTAATTGGCATTCAGTATTATAAATACTGAAATAATTCTATTACTATTTCTCGTGAATTTATTTTATAACAGATTTCAAGTTCTACATATGCGCTGTCTTATATCAGAAGAAATATTGTTTACTTAAAAATTGTACTTTTTACTTTTACATAAATAAATTTACTTAAGTCCAAATGTATTCAGTACACTTATTGCAGTTCAATGTACTTTTACTTGAAAAAAAAATACTCAGTACGAAAAGTACTAAGTATTCAATGTCTGGGATCCATTCATTTATGTACACTTCTTACCTAAGTGTGTTTAACACTATACTATAATTATTCAATAATTAATTTTTTCTCTGTTTATTAGTTTAAACAAATTCTGTATATAATTCATAGAGAAATTTTCTTTGTACTTGCTATCGAAGAAGCCTTATATTTTATTGATATATAAAAAAAGCTTATGACTTCAGTACGTATGGCGAAAAATCGTACTAACATGGGGTGAAAGATTCTGTCTCATTCATTTATGCGAAAATTTCCTCTTTGTTTCATGCGAACAACACTATTAATATATGATAATATATAATTTTATTCTCTTCATTAGTTATAAAATTGTGTAGTTAGTTCATGGAAAAATTTTTATTTTTCAATTTACTTAAAAACATTCTAATGTAATCTGATCCTATTGTGATTAAAATATCAGCACATAAGATAACTAGCTACATATTGGCTGACGATATCTATCTAGATATTATCAATGGGAAAACTATTCAAGTATTTATTATTTTAACGGAATCTTTTATTTACGAGTTAACTATTCTTTATATTCTGTGTACTGCTTTTCTTATATATTTAATCTGATGAAAATTGATGATTGAATAAAAAAAAAGATTAGAGACTATTGACTAAAATCTATCCTTAAGTTAATTGAATAAAATGCATTTCACATTTTTTTAAGTGTAATTTTTGTAAATCGAATATTATGTTTTTCTCGATAAATCGTTAGAGCTTTCCGAGTTGTTTTTTTCTCAATGCGAAAATACGATCATCTTTTTCTTTTCATTCAGTTTTCTTAAATCTTTTAATACAATTTGGTATTGTTTTCTATATAAAATTCGATATAAATATACTACCTAGGATAAATATTTATATTCGTATCACAAAATTCATCGAAAACAATATGAAAACATATATCTTTTATTTTATGCAATGTATTGTTTAGAGTTTATCATGAAACAACATTACAAGTTTCTAATTTACAATCTATCATTCAAATTTTTGCTTTACAGCCTAGAACTGATATTTAATTTCGTCTTATTTGTAACTCGGTGATTTTTTAAGCACTCCAATCGAAATGGAAGCACTTAGATTTAGCAAATTTATTGTTAATTACTTATTCTGACTTAAATGTATGATACTTTTATAGAATGGTATTTTAATTGTATTAAGACATGTTGATAAATGGAGTATTTTCAAAAAACTGGTAAAGCGCGTTTAATTTGTATCAATCGTCAAGTGTAAGTTTTAATGTCTTGTCTTCTTGAATCTTTATCTTCCACGTGTGAATACATCAATTGAGAATGAGAATTAAAACTTAATCAGCTCTTCAACACAGTCTTTTAGACGCATAATTGTAAGACTCTCGTTTGGGGAATGTATGATAGTATAGCTAATAGTTAGTCTGCTAAACAATTAGAGAGCTTACACTGACTGACTGCCGTACTTTGTTGTCGTAACATTGTTATACATTTAATAGAATAATATATTTCAATATATTTTATTTTCTAATGAAGAAGTATAACAATAATCATCAGTGAAGAATATAATAATATAGAAGATGATAATGATAACACAGATAATAACCGGCAAGAAGAAAAACCAACAACTGCGTAATAGCGAACGAAAATCAATCACGAGAATTAGTCAAAGTAGAAATATTACGCAATAAATCAAAATAGAGATCATAGCAATAGATAATACGAAGAAACGCTTAGCGTCAGTGAGTGTCATCTACTGACGCTAACAATTGTTGTTATACGTTCATGTTTAATTAGAAGCGATTGACTATTGTCAAACGACAGAACGTAGCAAATAAAAGTGATCCAAGATAAGACTTAAATTTACAGAAATGAAATAACATAGTATTCACACATGCCTTTTCTTTTACATTTTAATTTTATTTATGAAAACCGAAATATATATATATATATATATATACTATATAAATAAATTTGTGCGTGTTTATCTACGATCGTTTTATGTGAATGGTAGGAAAAGGAAATTCATTTTTGTCGCTGACAACATTTTCTATCGGAATTATCTCACTGATCGAGTGATTGTTCACTGTTGAATACTTTCGTCCGAGCTTAGACACTACGAAGCAAAACAAAAAGACAAAATTTCTTATCACTGTTGTCTTCTGCTTTCATACTATGTATATTACATGCATCCTAATAAAGAAATATAATTGATTTTGAACTTTACATGTAATCCATCGTGATATACGCCTATAAAAATCAAATGGATGCCATTTAAACACAAACAAAAGTTAATGAAATACGAAATTACAACTAACTATTAGTAATTAAACAATTATTTAGCTAATTTATTATCTGCAATAAATTACAAAAGCTATTTTATATATTATTCACGACTTTATTCTAAATTATTTTCTAGTCTATTAATTATATATAATTGAGATTAAAAAAATGATAATTATTATGAACTTGCCAATGTTTTGTTATGATCAATTTATTGGTAATAAACGCCCAAAAAGAGAAAAACAATCTCGAGGCCAAACACATAGAAAGAAATGAAGCAAAATAAAGATACATGGAAACCGTTACTATAGCAACGGGAAAATGTCTTGGGAAGGGAAAAAAAGAGAAAGAATGAAAGAAAACGATCCCACGATTGCTCTTCTACGACGTCAATGTCAAGATAACATTCTAACCAGTATTACTCTTCAATGTCTAGACTAAAATATTCTCCTTTATTAATTATCTATCATAGTCGATTAGGAATGATGCAGAATACGAGCTAAAGTATGTTTATCTTTCTATTTGCATAATTGATTCGAAACATCGTTGATAGAACAGATGCTTCTAGAAGCGAGTAATCTCTACTGTAGTTTGCTTTTGAGCAGAGATGGACAAGTCAGAGATTTGTTTGACTTCAGTCAACTCAAATCAAGTTATTTCTAGCTTGACTTGCGTATCTCTGCTCTCGATGGAGCTTTTGCTTTTTTCACTACTCTAAAATTCGGGGGCTTCCTGAGGATTTTCAAGTTTTCTGACGACTCACCGGTGATTCTGCGAGGAAGAGTCGATTAGGATAGGTCATCATAACACTTTTCGAATATTTCATTTATATTCGATGTCGAATTAGGCATCTACTCCAAATTCCTCAGCTTATAGCATATAGTTGGGTATCAAAGTGGATACCATTGGGACGATACACCGAATGTTTAAGGTGTGTTTGTGTGTAGAAAAAGTCGTTACCGGTGTAACGGGATTATGCCATCACTCTCCTACCACCAATTTATTACTGCCTGGCCACGCATTTAATCTATCATTTTACATTCCGATGAATCACTTCGTCAAAATTGAGAACAGAATTAACTGCACTTATTTTTACCTCGTTTAAAAATTTAGTTCACAAGAACAAAAACATTTCAAGACAGGTTAGAAATAAAAAATAAAGCCAATGGTTTATACGACAGTATTCTGATCCTCTTTTTCGAATTTAAACTAAATGACGATGATAGAATAATCTTTCCAATGTCTCTTCATTGGAAGGGAATAATCGTTTTAAATTGAAAATGAAACAACTCTCATCCAACAATTATTTAACAGTTTGAAAACAAGAATAATTGATCGGATTTGATAGTTCAGATTCGGTCATAATAGAACACCGAATTTTGTTACTATCTTTCAAATAGAAACATATTGTACAATTAAGCATTCTTAAATACACAACCTATCGTAAAATAAGATTTTTAATCAACTTCGAGGAAAAATTTCATTTTATAAATTTATCTCACTCTGATGCTCATCAAACTCTGAAATTATTCTCATACTTGATGACGAAGTATTCCTACTTTATATTCTATAGTTGAACTCATCAAGGTTTGAAAAGAATCTTTTAATTCTTAAGAAATAATTCGAATAAAATCTTTTACAATTAGCATTGCAACAACTCTATTGTAGTTAAATCCATATAAACGTCAAAAAATAAATAAATGATTTAAAAACGTCTTTCAATCTTCTATTTCGCTTCCAAAATATTGAAATATTCTCCTTTAATAGAAAATTAACATCCAGCACTTTTAAAATATGACAAACAAAATAATGTTCTTTTATATAAGGTGCACCAAAGCCAAAAATCGAGCAGGAGAAAAATCCCATGTATTGTTACATGGTTGGGTAGAGCTCGATGAGTAGATCATGAATATCACCTTTAAAATATTTATAGGCTTCCTTTTTGGCTGAGAAATTTTCAAAATACAAATTTTACCTGAAAAAATGAATATTTCACTGTTTCCGAGAAAACTCAAAATTTATCTGGTTTACCGATCTTCTAAGTTTCGAAAAATGTCATCATCGAATTTGACATGAAAATCTGAATCTGCTGATGTGGGTGTGCTTGTGAGTGAAGAGAGAAACGATATCTTTAGTCACACGCACACCCTACATAGTACATCTAACGAAGAAAGAAATGTCTCGTTGTATTTGAGATCTTTCGATCATTTCAAATAGATACAAAAGTCGAATTCATCTGATGAGACCCTTCAGAACGGTTAAAGTCAGTCATGAAAATCTCGATGCACTCACACCAGAACCCTCAAGATTAGGGTTTACCGAGCTTTGCTTTTAGTGAAAATGTTATCCAAAGCAATTCAAAAGTAGGCCTTTTTTTCTCTTAATGAAATATTTATTGATGATTTTAACGGGTTCAATTTCTATTCCCTCTACTGAAAGGAGGGTATTACGAAAAACGAGTTAAATGCGTTCGTTCGTCCAATAGGAAAGCGCATGCATAAACTTAACTAACCTCAAACAACATCCTGCAAGGATAAGGTTGACGGAAGGTAATCGGGGTCGGTGAACACGACGGCGTTGTCAGTTTGTTGAAATTTTGTAGTTCAAGCAAGTTTATATTGGATTACGAGCTGTTTAGATCGTCCCATTTCCTTTATAGGAATTCTTTGTAGGGAAATGTTTTGAGGGTACCATTCGATGATGTTTATAGTGTTAGATGTATCGTACGGTTATGTGAAATATTATTACGAATAGGCTATAGGCATCTTGCGGTGGAATTGATTCTCAATGTGGGAGCGGCTAGCCGCTCACCTGTACTGAGACTTTGAAAGTTTTTTACAAAGTCTTCAGTTTATTCTTGATATGTCAAGTTTTATTGCAGCACGAAGAATTTATTCAAACTTAATTCCTAGAATTCTAGATTAGCACATCTACGGACGTACGCAAACTGGATAAATACTCGAGAATCATGTCTCATTCTTGTCTAAATTGTGAGGAATTTATCGCATATGTAGATGAAACTGGATTAAATTAGTCCCACTACTGTTGTTTTCGGGTTTTTTGAAAATTCTCTTCATTTTCATCTAATAATTATAGAACGACGCGAAGCTTTCAATCAATCATGCCGTGATTAAAAGGATCACATTCGCCGCATATATGAGACAAAACTAGCCGCTCAGTTGAAAATCTGTTGTGATTATAAGACTGCAGGCCTTGGAGACTTGTAGAGTAGTTACACGTCGTCTCGATCAGAAAAGTTGAAAAAAATTTGGAAAATAGGAGATATTTTCAAGTTCTTCCGAAGACAGGTCGTGAAATAATTGCTCAAGTCGTGTGAAATATTTGAAATTTATATTTGTCGTGATTATCTTAATAAGTTTAGTTTTTCCTGATTGCGAGTTGATTTGATTCAAAAGATGTAAATCTTAGATTTATCTATCTGCGAATGTGCATCCAGAAATGAATCTATGCATTCTAGACGGAAAACGCACCGAAACAAAATGAACCCACATGAGGTTGAGCAAAAATGAGGACATATATAACCGAAATCGAGTTAGAAAAGATCAGTTTAATTTAATCTACGATCTACTCGTGCAGATTCATGTTAAATATCTAGTTGATAGACCAATATGAGTTGTAACTTTACTAAAATGGAGTATCTCGATCATAGCTCTCCTGAATGAGTCTTTTACTTCACTCCGTTATCAAGCTGATTGAAAATTTTCGGAGCATAGCTTGAGCTGTAGCAGATCGGATGCATTTAACTTTACTATTGTCATATAGTATTAGTGAGTACTACTTAAATGCCGCTTTCTTGGTGATACTTCCAAGCATGTTTTCTATTTATGCTCGGTTATCAGTCGTGTTTTCCATGAAAATCATTTCGAAGCTATAAAATCTGAAGTCTCTCAGCTAGATAGTTTCGATAACTACGTTCTACATGGCTAGATCCTTACAGTAAATGGTTGGCGACGCTAACGTCGCGTTCCCTTGTGTATTTGTACTGGCATGTTTCTAACTATATAGCTGTGTTTTGAATCAATTCACAATGTAATTCAAGCGCTTACATTTATTTTAATTAATTTTTAGATTTTTGTTGAGAACTCATAGATGTCAATTTAGATAACTGATGGGTTTAGATTATTTTATAATTTTGCATTCTTTTTTCTGATTGTCGAAATATTATTATTCAATAAAAGAGACTGCAAAGAACTGAAAAACTTTGTCTTTGAATACTGCAAGTTGCTAAGAGATTGTGGTATCAGTAAAAACAGTCATTACCATAAGTTATATTTGAATTTTGCTTTCATCGATGATTCATGCAACAAGAACTTACAACTACGTTTTCTTTGCAGCGTCTGCGCTGAGTTAAAACATGTAAGTTACAAAGTTAGAAGAAAATCAGAATTCCAAACAACTACTCTTTCAATCTTGACAGAGAGAGTGCAACGATTTCAAAATATCTGTTTACCATTTTCTTAAATATAAACAGAGAGTTATCACTTTTATATACCTATTTCAACTGTCTCATCGATACGCGTTGCACGGTCTGTTTATCGTGTTCATAAGTATATTTACCGTCTTTTGTTATCTGTGTCAATATTTGGTAACAAAATCACTATTTAAAAGTGTCTGAACAACAATTCGAATTTAATAAAATCAGTTTTTTAATGATTCATCACAAAGGTTTCAGAGAAATTCAATGTTCCTGATAAGTAACTAAACAAAACTCAACTTAAATACAATGAATGTCTTCATTTCAATTTCATTCTTTCTAGTACAAAATAACAATGGCGTTAGATAAGAATACTCAGTTCGACGCAAACAATAACAACAGCGATGAGGAGCAATCGAAAACACAACGAAGCGCATCAGATGTGAGCAACATCTTCAATAGTACTTTTATCAAGGAGGGCAACCAATGGCGATCCCTCAAGAATATGGATTGTCGAGGTGTGATACCCGATTTGGCAAACAACGATTTCGATAATGGCGTACTTTCTTCAATGAATGAAGCTGACAGCAAGAACAGTCGCGAAGATCCTACAAGAAATACGTCGTCAGGAGCATCCACTAGTCGTTCTGTTTCATCTCAAAAGATTCAGAATTCTTCATCTGACAAACCACTAGATACAAAAAAGAATCCTTTGCAACGAATGAAAAAACGTAGTACACAAAAATCGAAACTATGCATTATTCAATGATACTGTTGTGATTTTAATTAAAAATAAGAACAGTCTATGATACTAACAACTGACTAACTCAAACCTACATATATGTGGACAGTTTTTCGTGGAATTCATAATTTTGAATCGTTTATTTTTTTTCAGATTTTTTACAGATTAAGAGTTGTAGACGTTTCATATAATCGAGGGTGTGAGTGTAAGGGTTCTCTTCGTCTGTAAATCCACCAACTCACCCACACCCACATACACCCACACCCACACCCACATACACCCACACNAAGAGTTGTTAGACGTTTCATATAATCGAGGGTGTGAGTGTAAGGGTTCTCTTCGTCTGTAAATCCACCAACTCACCCACACCCACATACACACACACACACACCTTTATGTGTAATTTTTTAACACTAATCTTTTTTTCAGAGGATTCTCTGAAATTTATATTAGTACATAAGGTAGTTTGAATTATAGAAAGTAATTTTCTTGTCATAAACTGTAATACACAGATTAGAAAATTGTTATGGACAACTATATTTTATTCAGTAACCAGCGTTAGTGCCCTCTTCAAGTTTCATTACGGCTGTACTCATTTAATAATTCAACCAATTACTTGGATAAAACAATGAAGCCAGGATATACTACTATTAGAATTAGTAGATAATAGTTATCTTATGCAATACAAAAATCAGAATAAATTCTTTGCAAATAGGTTATCTGATATTTTTAAATAAATCTTTCTTGAATATTTCTTCGAAAGAATGATCAAATACTAAAGACAAGCAAAAACTTGATGGTAACTGATCATCAATATTTCTCTCAGATGAAGTCTCACCGTTTTCTATGATTATGTTTTTTTTTAAATCTTAATTATGAGAACCAATTGTGAGGTAAAATATAGTTAGAAAGCTACTTCATGGAGCATATTGTGATAATTATAGGCTTAACTCCAGAATGAACAAAACTAAAAAGTTACATAAATTAACCAAGTGCAGCGCGAAATTCATCCATGGAGAAGTTTGGATCTGGCTTGCGACCTAGAGGCACTGCTGCTTCTCTATGTCCTAATACACGTGCAGTTGGAATTCCGTAAGCTTCCTTAAGAGCTTTAACACCACGCACATAACTCTGCCATTGTACTTCGGGCCAGTACTTGTGTCCTGCATTATCAACTGGAGTGCCAGTGGCCTCAGCTTCGATACCTATGGCGTTAGCGTTTCCGAAGATCGAGTCATCGATTGTTTTACCAGCGTGATAAGAAAGACCAGCGGCAATAACGTACCAAGTTCCTGAACGACCTAACCCAAGTTGCGCAAGAGGACCAGCGAGATCAGAACGACCTACTTTGACAACATTCTTTGAGGGAAATTCACCAGTGGCTGCTCCAGCCGTGTGATGGACCAGAATACCCTTCACTGATGACATCACCCGATGGCCACGAGTTTTCCAGCCATCTTCTTCGACTACTGTAAGACCAGCTGCACGGAGAATATCTGCTAACTCTGTGAGCATCTTGTTCACTGGTCTATAGGAACCAGTTTCAGATGGACCATCACCTTTGACGCAGCATTTTATGTTAGCAGCACCAGGACAGATGCCTGCATATGAAGTTCCACCACTTGCTGAACAAGCAGTAGCATCCATGCAGTTATTACTAAATCGAATTTAATTTACTTATGACTATCATAGGAAAATAGTGTTTTACCAAGTGCAACATCGAATATTGTTACCACCAGAGCAGAGACCCGCCTGGGAAGATCCACCTTTAGCACTGCATTGACCGGCATCGATGCAAGCGCTGTTGGACCAACATTGTCCATTAGAGGTTCGTGCATAGAACACGACAAGACAAATCAAACCAGTCAGAAGGTCGATACCGAACATCTTGTGACTATATTTAATTGTAAAAATAAACCAATGGTTGTTAGCGAATGGGCGATGCAATAAATACATCTTCTATTTCGAAAACAGTGGATTAGATTTAATGCGTTTCTAAATGCCTTTTCAAAATGAGAAGCAACTGACTATTCTGTGCTTCCTATCAAATTTCTTCATATTAAAAATGTATCAGCTTGTTGAAGACAAAAACATTAAAATAGTAATTAAATTACTAGCTAGAATGAGACATATCCGATTACCGAACCGATAGCAATAACCAATGCAGTTAGAAGAATGCATACATTCATCTCTTTCTTGTCTAATACCTTCACCGAGTATACTTTTGATCTGCATCTCGTAATGATTCCTTAGGTAACATGTGAAATTTAATTCAATTTGATTGTGGAGGTCAACACTATTCGCATTATAAACAAATTTACTATCGAATAATATGAGTCTACCATGACGCGTGAAGAATTTAATACTAATGAATGAACCACAAATAATGGCACTTTATGTATTTTAATGATATCTCATTCATTTTCCATCGTGAACGAATCAGGTTGTTTTCAAAATTTTTCTATCTTGTGTTCTGTTAAAGCGGATGCACTTTATATGTTGCTTATCTACTATTGAATGAAGATCTTTTATTTCGGTTATAGAACAAAATAGTTGACCCACTTTTAACCGACGATCACAAATAGACAAGAAGGCATAGCGAAGGTTCTGTTCTTGAATGAGAAACTGTTTGGTATTTACGGAAGCTATAAATTTCCAAATGATTATGCGTGTATAGAATAGAGTCAACGCTAATAAAAAGAGTATTATCAAACAGAAACAAAACTTTTCTCAGAAATTGACGTGCTGGTTAGCTATCGGTTCCAAGTAAGTATCATCAATAGTGATCTTGGATGAAGCAACAATTGATCATGATCGGTACAACCGAGGAATTCTTTCAGTGGCTCTCAAATGCGGAAATGACTTTCTCGAAATCTATTAGACGCTTCAGCGAGATGATGCAAAGATGTAGGTGCCTAATTCGATTTTGAATGTAAATAAAAATTTGGAAAAGAAACCATCAACACTCTAGTTGATAGAATCACAAAAATTCTATCATTAAGAAATTAGAAGACACTTCCGTGCAACTATGGCAAAACAGGTAGGAAAAAATCATTCGAATTATAAATTTATAATTCAGATAAATTCCTATTCTATTTTTCTGCTGAAGCTATAGGGCTCACATGTTGCATTAATAAATGCATAATTTGAATAAATTTCTTTATATCAGCCCGCGCGATACAAGTGCTAGCGTAATGTTATTTTACGCTTAATTTCTGATTTATCTCAAGTACTCCGAGACTCATTTATATTCGAATTCGAATTAAGCAATTCAAGATTCGTTTTCTGCTTTATTCTAATCTATATGACTAGAACACGTACGGGGAGAGAATTAATAACTAAAAACAATTAGAAGGCGACATAGATAACCACCAAAGCAGCAGAACGGAAGTTACCAATTAAGATAACGTATTATCTATTGTCGGTATCTGGATGTTATGCTTATAGAAATATATCGGTTCATATGCAGCTTTTTCAAGTAGTGTTTTATGAAAAAAACGAATACTTATCTAAGTACCTAAAAATTGAATTGTTTAATTCATATAAAAATCTACTTTTACGTCGTCATATAATATTTAAATATACAACATACAAAAAAAAGTGGAAAGAAAATGTTATAGCAATCATGTGGCATAGCTATTATGCGGTACCATCATGTTTTTGCAAAGACCCAAAAAGTCAGTATGGAACAATATTCTTCAGTAGTGTTTTATATCATATCACAAAAGGCAACTTTTATTTCATTTGAAATAAGTTATTTAATTCATGTAAGCGATTTGAATCATACCGAAGTCTCCTTCATTTAAATATAATATTGAGAAAATTTCTTCCCATCAAAACTACACTCTCTCAGAATTATTATGACAGTTACAACGGAAGTAGACAAATCGTGTGTAACCAACTTTATTTAAGTGATGCTTTTCGTACTACTGAAAAGGAACATATTTGAAATAAATGGAATGATTTTTATTTTGGTGAAGAAATCAAAGAATACTATCATAAAAATAATAGGATTTATGAAGAATTAAAGATCATTAATTAAACACATTAAAGCAATTGTTTTCATGTTTAGTCAATTGCATAGGACAGTTTTGTTCATTTTGTTGAAATCAATCTTTTTTTTTCTTCATCAACATCATGATTCACCATAGAAACAGAAATGATTGCGCTCTTCAAGTTACAATCCAAAAATAAATATAGGATGTAACAGAATAACAAGCAAAAATTTATTGCTTTTCAATACGCTCTCTGCTCGTTGATCACAGAAAGAATATGAAACACAGGATAATCCTACTTTTCAGTGTCTTTTTCTTTTGTATAGAAGGTCTGCTGACTTTTCTCTTTTCACTTTCTTTTGTCTCAAAATCAGAATTATTTTTAGTGCAAACTACACAATTATCTAACTACTACTGTAATGCCAATAGTGGTACAGTTTAATTTACATTGTCGTCAGGGTCTCATTCTAGATGGCAACCAACATCAAATTGTTCGATAGAAGAATGTCATGTAAACTCATATTATAACAATAGCTGCCGTTCATCACCAACAACTTGCTTCAATTATCGTACACAAACCAACATTAACTATTGTGCACTCGGTATTTCATGTTCAATTTTGGAACCATGTAATAATATTAATTATACTTGCTCATCAAATACTTCTGTACGCATCGTTAATTCATACTGTTCACCCGAAGCAGTTTGCTTGCCATTGTTATCAACGGATTTCTGCTAGACAGGTAATGAAGTTTTCGTTTTTTATCATAAGAATGATTAAATCAATTTTGATGTTTTCTGTTTAAATTGCATAAAATGCAAATAGCCAGAATTGAGGCAAGAAAGAAATTTAAAGACTTCATTGAAGAAGAAAAATCATCACAAGAAACGAGATGTAGAGTTGAAAAGCGATGAAGCTTTTGAACGTAATCTGAAAACATATATCATAAATTGATCATGGACAAACTAGTCGCTTTCCAAATAGATTCATGTTTTTGTTCCATAGAAAACAATTTTAAATAGTTGAGTTGCTTTGGTAGAGTAGCATGCTGAATGGTTTCTATGATTTATTCTCTCGACTGAAGGGAGGGTCATACGAAATAAAATGCGGTTGTTTGCTTGCTTGAGGTAAAAAAAACATACCAAAGAGGCTCGCTTATTTTAAGACTTTTCTCTGTTTTAACTGAACTTTGCCATAGACTATCGAGGACCCAGAATCCGAATCTGTGATTAGTTTTTTTAAATGAAAATCTCTGAATATGAGCACTACAGAGTAACTTTAGCAGTTCTGTTTTACGTCAAAACTTGAATAAGGATGAATCACTCACAACGAAATAATTGATTCTTTATTTACTGTTGAGAAGCATGGAATTGTAAATCCGGCAGCTCTTTATATTAGTGAGTATCGGAATAAACTAGGATATGAGTGAAAAGAGATGATCACAGTTTGAATTTCATCTGAATATTGTATTGGCTAGCGGTGAGTGGCGCCCCGGAGAGGCGCTGACGAGCGGCTAGTTGCTGCCTACCGAATGTCACTGGCCTAACCATTCAGACTGAAGTGTTGAATACGAACGATATTTGTCCACTAAATATGACTACCTTTAAGAGTAGCGAAAAGTAACAAACAGCTGATTTCTGTACAACCTATAGGAATAAATGTTCTACAGACAGAATAGCGAGAAAGTATGATTGGCGGGTCCGATCTGTTAGCGCGTTTGGATAACCTGAGTAAAAACAAATTGAGAATCAAGTAAAATGAGTTTTCGCATTTGAAATTCGTGTGTGCCTGTGCAACTGCACACTACTTGATTAATTTAAATAGACGAAAGCTAATTTTAGTGTTGGCATTTGAGTAACAGTGTCTATAGATCAACTCATTGCACACAGAATATACTGTCATGTATATCATGATGGAAACATACTAGAGCGTGTTTTAACATGTATGGTCGTATCAATCCTTTTTAGAGACCCAAATATTAATGTTGCTAAGTGTTACTTGAAGCTGTAAAATATTGCATTAAACCGAGATAGCTGAATATTCAGCCGAAGGTCAAGTGAGTCTTGCAACGAGCGTTACTTGTATTTTCTTACAAAATCTGTCAGTGCATGGCAATAGACTAGATCGCAAGAAATATTTCGTAATATTTTTCGGTACTCAAATCTGGAGGTCTTATATTTTCTGAAACATTCCTTGATTTGAATATTCGTGACACAAATTCAAGAACCTATAAAATCATTATGAATTGTTATCATGAAATAAGAGTTTCGTATGGAAGTAACGATTGAAAATGGTGACTAAATGATTCTATAGTCTGAATCCGTTGGCTAGATTTTCGTCTAACTCGACGAAACCTACAAGAAATTTGTATCCATTCGTGTCGATCTAGCAGAAAAAATCTTTTGCCGCTATGATCTTCATAGTATTAAGTTTTCCGATTCATTTGAGTCAATTAAAATGAAATCTAAAAGAAGATATCAATAAAGTTAATTCCATTCTAGATATGAACGATCATCAAACTTTCACACATAATTCATACCAGTTTAAATAATACATTTTTTTTCGTATGAATTCTCTGTTTTGTTTTGGATGGCTCCAATCATATCGATGCAAGTGAGAAAAATGCGTTGAAAATGAGTTTTATTTTTAGACTCCTGTCAGTGAAACATAGCGAAGTTACTAATCAATTCCTGCCTTCTAATGTCTTCACCATCATACTGTTATCACTAATCGCATTTGCAGATAATCAAAACAAAACACATTATTGTCTTGCATCTGTCGAATAAGTCTATCAGTGAAAGTGACAAATTTATTTTGTTCCTACTATACTGAAAGAAATCTCTTGCCATAGGATTGAAATGGTATCTTTTAAGTCAATGAAGAATTGAATTTGTTTTGCAAAAAGAAGCAGAAAAGTGTGTATATTTGATTACATAGTGGCTTTCAATTAGAATATATCGAAATGTACTTTCTAGGATGGTTTAACACTAATAGTATGAATCGTAATCGTGCTTGGCACACAGCATCTCTGTTAACGACTGGAAATGTATTACTTTGTGGTGATTCAGGTGTTGCTGGTGATCCATGTTCTGCTGAATTGTATGATCCATCAACAAAAACTTGGACACTGTCTGGAAATATGATTCATGGGCGATATTATCGCACAGCACCTATGTTAACCAATGGAAAATTATTGACTACCGGTAGTGTCTAGTAGTAATTCAAATAGTTCCGAATTGTATGATCCATCATTAGGAAACTGGACAATATTGAGAAATATGAATAGTGCAAGATGGCAACACACAGCATCTGTATTAACAAACGGAAAAATATTAGTTATTGGAGTAAGTAACCGTAGTAGTTATATCAATATAGCTGAATAATATGATCCACTAGCAGAAAATTGGATACTGACTGGCAGCATGAATAATACGCGAGGATATCGTACTGCATCCGTACTAATGAATGGATACGTTTTAGTTGCTGGTGGTTATAGTACCAGCAGTGATGTCAATAGTGCTGCGTTGTACGATCCATTAACTGGAACATGGACAATTACTAGTACCATGAATTCTACACGATGGGATCACCCTACATTCGTATTAACAGATGGAAACGTGTTAATTACTGGTGGAACGAGTGGGGATCTCGCGCTGAATGTTTCAGAAATATACTGATTATTTCCAATGAATTAACAGTCGCTTATCTCATTCTAATTTTAGAATTTAAAGACAAAGTTTTACAAAAATAAAAACATCCCCTTTTCGACCTTTCATAAAGTGTTGATATGATAAATTCAATTGGAATACATCTCATGCATGTTGACATTATTCCAATGTAGATAATCTTGAACGTAACAGAAAATAAAGACGAGCTTCTTTCTATTTAATCATTTCAATTTCAATATGCTTGATAATATACAAGTATGATATATTTCATAGAAATATTATACTAGCGAAAATTTAACTAAAAAGTCACATAGATTTGAATTTATTCCTGCGGATTAGCACATCAATTACAGTGAAGTAGCAAGAGGGAAATATTGACAGGCGGTATTATTAATTTCTTCTTGATATCTAAGCCGACAAATGTAATGCCGTTCTGCAGTTTTTACTAATCATTCAGTTACATAATTTTGTTATCGATAATAAATATTTCTTAGTGAAAACGTCGTATTTGGCATTCGTTTTATCCAATTTTCCAGTCAATTATAAATTTCTCTGAACAGTGATTCTATTTTTCGTCTTGCACATTATCACTGAATTATAATTCATGGAGAAAATTTATTCGCATTAATTTTTCGATACATAAAAAAAAGCAACAGTGAGATTAACATCACATTTTTCGACTCGTAGAAAACAATAAATGTAATCATTCAGTTGGATACCATTGGGCCTGTACTGAATGTTTGTTTAATAGTAATTCCATAATTCCATGGCTTTCATCTTCATATAGGCGATCTTGCCATTGTAAATTTTATCTGTATTCCTTTTAGCTAAACTATTCAATGCTCTTCTTTGGTACTTCTGTTAGATGTTAGTCTTGTCGGTATTGCACACAACTGGCATGATATCATTGACTGAACAAACTTCATGAATGTCCTACGTTTTTGCCAAATACTGGTTTGGATCTTTCAATTGATAAAAATTTGATCACATCTGACTCCTAAGCTATGCTGATCATTTGATAATTAGCATTAATCCAACCACGTACTGTTGGAGAAAGAATTGCACGTAGTTGGCTAGAAAATCTTGTAAGTTCAACAACATTGGTATCGATCATTGATGATTGAATCGTAGCAGCAAGATTTCTAATACACCCTAACAAGAAAACTAGAGCGAGCATGCTGCGTATTGTCAGTTTTTAATTATTTAGTAATGGATTTTCAAATAAATATATGTATTATTACCTGTTATTTATATTTACCGATAGACAAAGAAATGATTGGCCGCTGGAGTTTTTATCCGTGACGGACGAATCTATAGCTTATTATCGAAGAAAAAAAGAAAATATTACAGGAAAAAATTGATGATTAATATTATCTTTTGTTTCTCGGTGAACGTAAACCCGATTTCTCTCTCTTGCTTCCTTCTTTTTTTAGTGACTAAATCGCCACGGCAACATATATAATCGGCATGGTCACATTCATCAATTAGATAATGTAACCAAATATCTGTGAGAAACAATACAATGCAAGTAAATTCTCTTCGTTCACACACAAAGAAAGATAGAAATTGTGAAATTTGATAGCGTTAAAATAAAACTATATTTTTTCTTACTTAAAACTTTAATCAATCACTAGGTTTTTACTAACTTGTGCAAATTCTTGTGGAACGATAATAAGAATGATCAGATTTTGTCATGTGCACTCTTGTTTATGAATTTGTATTCTTAATTGAACTGTAGATTTGACAGCAACTATTACGATAACATCAGTTTCTTATTGGCATACCTTCTGAAGAAAGTCTATCTTATAAGAAATCATGAAGTTTTACAGGACTTCCCGCAGAAGCTTTACTCGATTCAAATACATGAACTGCAAAACTTGTCGATCTATTTTATTTAATTCGGATATTTCTTGAGATAACTAATTTAGCAGAAAACAATCGAAATAAAATCAAAACCAACATAGTAACATCATATGCGTTTCATTGTCGTCATGGTTAGCTCATGTGCACATATTAAGAGTACCAGAAAAATGTACCCAGGGCTCATGCATCGGTTCTGTTCAAGTCCTAGTCTAAACTGTGGGAAAATAACATTGCATGCTTCCGATGAAAATACATCTGGCGTCATCTTCATTCTGTTCGTTGTGATTGGTTCAAGCTGACTAAGCAATAGCTTAGTTGACAAGTTGAACATTCAATTAATCAATCGATTGGAATTGACGTGGAATTGAAACCAAAACAGAATTGTATACAGCTATTTCTTATCATCATGACAAATATTAATCTTATTGAAGCTGTTCGTTCTTATATCAATCGAATGATTGAAGATTGTGGTCCAACTATAAAAGGACTTGTTATGGATAAAGAAACGGTTTTGAAAAAACTATTTTTTGTTTTGCTTAATAACAACAAGATTGCTTTCTTCTCGTTATAGGCGTCTATTGTTAGTATGGTTTATGCTCAATCAGAAATTCTTCAAAAAGAAGTTTTTCTTTTCGAACGTATTGATATACCAGGTCAAAAATCATTAAAACATTTGAGTGCTATTTGTTTCCTAAGGCCAACAGAAGAAAACATTCAATCATTAGTACGCGAATTACGTGATCCAAAATATGGAAATTACTTTATTTGTAAGTTTAAACGATTCGTTTTAATAAAATACACCGAATTATTCGAATTAGATTTTACTAATTTTGTTGAATTGAACGATATTAAAAGTTTGGCTGAAGCTGATGAATTTGAATGCGTACGAGTCGTTCAAGAATATTATGCTGATTATTTAGCTATAAATCCGCATTTATATTCGCTCAATATTCAGAGTACCTATCAGGTAGTACTTAATAATCTGTGAAATTATAATTTAGTAAATTTTTATTAGCACAACTATGAATGGAGCGATAATTTACTTCGTCGAACAGTTCAAGGTCTTGTTTCAGTATTACTGGCATTAAGAAAAAAAAGTGCAACAATTCGATATCAAAAATCATCAAATATGTCAAGAACACTTGCCGATAAACTTTCCGTAAATTATAAATGAGAAATATTCATATATGTATATTTCTGTTCTTCTATTTGCAATAATCTAGAGCACACTCAAACGTCAAGTAGATTTTACGGCATCAAATCCCAATGATATCAATCAAACAATCGTTCTCATTATTGATCGACGAGAAGATGCAATTACTCCATTACTAAATCAAGTTTGATTAATATTTATGTAATTAAAACTAAGTAAAAAAATGGACTTATTTTTCTAGTGGACATATCAAGCAATGGTTCATGAATTGATTGGTATTAAAAATAATCGCGTTAGTCTCAGTCACGTACCGGACATTACCAAAGAACTTGAAGAAGTTATTATGAATGCTGAATATGATGAATTCTACGCAAATGTAATTAAATATTCAAAACCTATAGTAATTTTTGTTTTTATTCTTTTATAGAATCTGTATAGTAATTTTGGTGAAATAGCAACAAATATTAAAGTTTTAATGGAACATTTTCAAGAAAAACATAAAAGTCAATCAAAAATTGAATCTATTGGTGATATGAAGGTTTGTGTTTCCAGTAGAAATTTTATAAACGAAATTAGTTTCATTGAAAAAAATGATTCACAGATATTTTTCATAGCATTGAGATTTTAGGAATAAAGAGAATATTTTATCTGTATCTTACAAATAGATTAATCTCAGTGTGTATTATATTAGATTGGATAAAATATAGATAAATAATATAAAACCGATGTATCTATTGCAGAGCCTACAAGAAAATTTAAAGGATAAAAAATATGATCTAATTTGATTGTGTGTCATACGATCTTCTTTTAAATTGTCAGCACTCTAATACGTTTGGCTTATGTTTATAGCTCTTTCGAGGAAATGCCGCAAGCTCTGATCTATCGAGTTCTGTGCTGCTTATCATGATGTAGTTTCATGCTAAGTTTCGCGTAGTTTTCTGAAATCTAAAAACTATCGTGGTTGGTTTCTCGAAAATTGTTTTCACAAATTTTATTGGTTGATTATTCAAATCATTGTTTCAGTTTTGATTAAATCGTAGTAAAAAATGCAATTTCACTATGGAAAATAATATTTGAGTACTAACAGATTATCTATCAGTTTTTCTCTTATCTATCGATGAATAAATAACTACTCTCTTAAGAGGCGAAATTCGATCGACTCGTATTCCGACCTATTTTGCTTCTATTCCTTGATCTTAACTACTCGTTAATGCATCAACCACCGATAGAGAAACTATGAAAATCTGTTGTTTATTGTTCTGTGATTATGTTGTAAATGATACATAGAGGTTTTTTCTTTTGAGTAAAACTCAAAGAATATCAACATTAACTACATCTGACAAAGGTCGTTTAACCTTCAGTCAGGACAATCTACATCTATCATATAGATTCTAATGATTATTATGAAAAGAGTACGTGTCGTCTACTATTAAGAAATAGTTTCTTTTCGTGTTATTTTTAACACGCGCTGTCCTTGTTCTGCCACAAGAAACTCATCTTTTGTTTGTATTTTGAAAGAACAGCAGCTAATATAAAAAACAAAAAAAGATCTGAATTTTCATAAAAAAAGACTGTTCTCTTTCATGTTTATTATTGTCAACAAATTTTAAGTTGAAATTTAAATCTTGTAGCTATAATTTTCAAATTATTATCAGAACTTCAGTGCTTAAAACTTTGATTTCTTGTTTTTCTTTCTCCTAGACATTCATAGAAAATTATCCTCAATTTAAAAAACTCTCTGGTACTGTTTCTAAACATGTAACCATTGTTAGCGAATTATCACGTCTAGTTGGCCTTTATAATTTACTTGAAGTTAGTGAAACCGAACAACATCTTGTATGCCAAGGTGATCATAATGATGTTGTACAGGTACGATTAAATCATTTTAAAAAAAATTATTTACATTTATTAATTTTTTTTTCTTTTTAATCAAAACAAAAAAACAGAAAATAAAACGTTTAATCAAAAACGATAAAGTTCGTGATCTGGATATTCTTCGTCTTCTAGCTCTCTATGCTTTACGTTATGAACGGCATGCAAGTAATGAATTAAATACATTGAAATATGAAGCACAAAAACATCGTAAATTACCAGAAAAATATATTCAAGTAGGATAAAATTGTTTTCTAGAAACGAAAGAAAAAATTCAATTGTAAAATATATTTTTCATCTTTTAGTTCATTCAAGCTTTACTTGAATATGGTGGTCTCAAATTTCGACAAGCTGATTTATTCAATACGCAAACACCAATGGCTATTACAAGACAATTTATTCGAGGATTACGTGTATGAAGAAAATTAAAAACAAACAATTTTCCATTTTAATTTTTTGTTTTTGATCTTTCAGGGAGTTGATAATGTCTATGCACAACATGTACCATTAATAAAAGATTTGATTGATCAATTACTACGTGGAAAACTTAAAGACACATCATATCCAAATGTTAATGCCAAAGATCAAGTAAATCAACAAAGTTCATCACAACTACAGGGACAAATCATAAAGTAAATATTAATAGTTTTTATTCTTTGACATTAATATTTGCATTGAATTTTATTAGACCAAGTGAAATTATTGTTTATGTCATCGGCGGAGTAACCTATGAAGAATCTTATCATATTCAACAAATGAATAAACAAAGTGCACGAATCATTATTGGTGGTTCATATATGCATAATTTTCCATCGTTTATAGATGAAGTACTTTTTGCAGCACCTTCATCTTTATCGGCAGCATCCACTGAACTTCTCTCATCTAAACGTCGTTAATTTAATTTTTATTTATTTATCTTGCTTTTTAATGTCGTACAAAATAAAAATTTATGTATATCAATTACTTATTTCCGTTCTTATGATCGACCAATTGTTGTTCTAATAAATCAAATAGAAATATATATTGCTATATAGAGAAATATTTTCAATAATATCCGAAGAATAATAATTGATCAAAAACAATGAGTACCGTACAACAAAAGAACGTTGCACATGCGCCAATATACATAATTAGATACAACTCTCTGAGATTTTTATTAATAATTGACATGGAAGAAAAAAATATCTTCTGTCGTCGTACATAGAAACCAGAACATGAATTGTTATTGACGTTAATAAAGCAAAATCTTATTTTCTTTTCTCTTTATCTATCATCTAGAAAATCCGATAACCAAATTTAATGGTATCCTGTAGTTGTGGGAAAAGATTGCACTTGTTTTTACATAGTCTAAAACGACATATTTCACAGTTATGGATAAAAACTATTAATAGAACCAAAAAATGATCACAAACCATCTATTGAATCGAGTATATATTTTTTTCTTTTTGTGACATAGACAATAATTACTTCTAAAACTATTGTCTTCTCTTGTTATATTCATAGATTGTATCGAATGAGATATTTTTACACTTGTTAAATCGTAAATATCTCATTTCTTTGCAACCACAATCTTTCATGAATACATTTCAAATATGTATAATAGATTTTACACTAGTCTATGATAATCCATGGCTTATATTCAAAGGTAAATTATTTATTCATTTATTAATACAAACTAAGTTCTAGCTATAATTAAGCTAAAATAAATTGGACGAAATCTTGTATAGAATTTATCTAGAGAAAAAAAAGAAGCAATTAATGTTTTCTTTATCGAATATGTCACATATGTTCTTTTGCTTGGAATAATAAATGAATAAATAATAATTATGACATAAAAAAAAATTGTCCTTTCCATTTTCCGATTCGTAGGATATCGCTTTAGCACGCCCATTTAACATGATTTAGTGAAACATCACTATCCTATCTTCAAATTAGAACTCTATTGTATTGTCATATATCTCAGTTAAAACGATGAATGCGTATACCTATATAGATGCATTTGAAAAAACTATGAGCTTGAATCATTATTGCTAAATGTCAGTATGATTGATGATACGCTGTAATTGTTCATTTATAAAGATAAACGTTAAGATTATACTTATCTCTAGTAGCTTCTCCTGATCGTGTTTTTGTAACACGCATACTCTACTGATTAATTGATTAGTCAGAAAAACTCGACGAATCTGTGCCGCCTGTAGGATGCATTCCACTGTAATTTTTCTCTTTTTCCTTAGAGAAAGAACAGGAAAATAGATCACTTGCTTCAGTTTTCTCATCAAACAGACAAGCGCAGATGTTATAGAGAAGAAAAAAAAAGAATTTTGCCAGTATATATATATATTATATATGCTTGCATGTCTATATATATATATATGTATACACATAGACATTTAATCCTAATTTATGCTAGTATTTGATCTATACATAGACCTACGATTTACTGCTACCGATGTTTTCTGATTAAATAATACTATGATTAGTACTACAAAACAGAATTGGAATCGTGCAATAATACTTTTTTTAACAATCTGTATTGTTGACGTCGGTACTAAATATGGTAAGAAATTTTCCATTCTTCATTTTTTTGATGAAATTGAATAAATATCGAAGAAAAGAAAAAGAACAATACTTTTGAGTTGTATTTTACATAAACTAATAGAAAAAAAAGGTCGATTTTATTGATAAAGTGCTACTGTATATAGAAGCAATATCAGATAAGAAAGTATGCCCTTCTCGTTTACATCGATATCGGACACATATCTCAAGGTACTACTATTTTAACGTCTCTCGGAAGACTCAACTACATTATGGTGAGTGTGTCCAATTACTCAAATCGAATAGAAGCCTATGATTGGGTAAATGAATAGCTATCAAGAGAAAGGCATGGTTTAATATATACGTATAAATGTTTCGTCAATGTTTTCGTATTCATTCTTGCTAAGAATAGAAATTTTACAAACGTTCTGATTATTTAAACAATTTCTTCTATAACAAATATAAGAATAATGAATATTGGCATATCGATATACAATTCATAGAGCTTCTGCACTAGACTAAACTGTGAATATTGTGTCATAACATCTGCAATTAAAGAAATACCACTGATTGATTTTTAGCTGTGTCTTTCTTTTACCTCCTATCTGGAGGCTATTATCGATTACAGAAGTAGTCTAGACTGACCACAGTAATATTCTCTGTTCACTCTTTTATGAAACATGATCTGAAAGGAGTGTTGAAGTATATAGGGTAAAATTTTCGACCCCCCCCCCACAGCCCGTTACAGAGAAACTAATTACTAATTAATTAATTAACCAATAAATTAATTTCTCTGTAACGGCCTGTGATGGTCTCAAGCGACTCCATACATCTTGATACAGATCATGGCCGAAAGGCTCCATATATAATTACAGACAGTGGCAAAAAAACTGCAAAGACTCATAAACCGTCGTAGACGGATTTCAGCAAAAAAGTTTCATCGTGTTTCACATTTTAATCCCACAGAGATTGCGCTAACAACTTTTTTTTCTAAAGATATGATATAAATAATCGTGTAGTATCTATGGATTCGTTGTGTCGTGATTTATCTCTTTGTCTCATTTGACCTTGTACGCTGACCATTCTCTCGGTAGTGTGATTATAAATTGATTTTTTTCTCTTGCCCTCATGTTCACAGACGAATATACGTTTTTACGTACATATCTATTTGTAGAAGAGTGAGAGAAATGACTGTATACGCGCTATTACTGCGCGTGTTCGATACAAACATATACACACATGCGCATCATCGACAATATATTTCTTCTTCGATGACATAAGTAGCGTCTTTAGTTGCAGAAAGCAAAATTGGCGGACGGTTATTCATCACCTTGTTATTATTTGCGGTTATGTTGAGCTCCACTGTTTTTTCCTTTGTCTTAATACTATCATTTTCTGTGTCGAATGTTTTGACGAAGAATACAAACAAAAGTTGTGTTTCTAATATGAATTTTGCACAGAATTCATCAGATGGTAAGTTTATCGGATTATGAATAGGAGGAGCAAAAAACAGAATTTTTGTTTGTATGAAATCACGAGCGGTTTTCTTTCAACTGAAAGATTTATAATGAAACAAATAAGAAATTCTTTAGTTTGATTTTGTATTTTTTTTAACTTCTGACATTCGATTGATCATCGCCAAATGAATGATTTCATCAATCGATCGTTGCATTTTGACGTTTTTCTATTGACAAAAGTATTGATTTGTTATTATGACGACAATCTTAAGAAAGCAATATCATAGAATTATTATTTCCAAAAAGAAATGCACTAGAGTACACAAGAAAATGTTAACTACATCTGCGAATTGCTTATTAGATTGTCCTTAGGACTTAGTATTCTTCGTGAAGATGCTAAGGAATTTTGAAAAACATTCCATTTTGTTTTTGGCCAAGGTAATCTTTGTTATTAAACGGCAAGGCTTTCCGTCATCAAATAGTATAGATATAAGCGGAGATTCTTCTTTGATGATTGAGTTGTTTTTTTTTCTCACCAAACAGACATACCGTTTTATTTACTTCCTGTCGCAAATATAGTTTTATCAAATGTTATTGTCTAGTGCTTTAAAGTAAATTATACCGGATAATATCATACCTATGAACTTGATATATATGTAGTTATTCAAGAGTAATTTTAAATCAACCTATATTTAAGATTGTTTCGCTTATACTTATATTTACTGACCTTTACGTTAATACTCATATCTAGTTTAGTATTATTTTATTTTATCTTATACGCGATTCTTGCATAAGAGTAAATATGTTATATGCGTAGATCGTTGAAATATTGATTGTTCTCTTAGGCTTCACAGTATGGATTATATTCTATTTATCCATTCTTATTATCTATCAAGAAAAGGTCAGCTATATGTTAATATCTATCATCTGGAAATATTTGACCACTTTCCTATTTTTCTATCATATTATAAGAACAATAAAAAACACCATTGTCGATATTTTGATTTGATCAATATTGAGAACTTGTTGTTTTTTATTGTTTTTTCACTTCATAAGATATATATATATATATATATATATGTCCATTAAGAGAGAATGAGATAGGACACAAGGGAGAGGGAAAGAAAAAAATGAGCACGTCCTGCTGTATATGTATTCTTATGAAAATAGGAATGAGAGATTGAGCAAGTTATTTTATGCTTATCAAGAAAAAGGAGTAGCCTATTAATTGTCATGGATGTCAATTGTAATCGACACGAAACATCATTAAGCCGTTTTATTATCTCCGAACCATTTTATATCATTATACGTTCAATTTCATGTAATTTGAATTACAGTTTTAAATCAACTAGATTTCTACTCCCAATCCATCTACGAAACATTTCGACAACAAAAGGTAATTTGACAGAAGAGCAAATATTACAAATGATTTTCCTTGTCGTATAATATCAGTAAATGAGAGAAATATCCTTGGATTTAATGACTTATGATGTACTCAGCTTGATAGCAATCCAGTTAGTTTCATGTTTCTAGTCCGTCGTAATGAAACGCTATGTTATCTCATTGGCTTTGGTATTGGTGTTGGTTGTTGTATTGTCTATCGGCTTCTAACAAATTTTTTTACGTCTGCAACAAATAGAAGTTTATCTACTAATTCAAAATGTGATGTAAGTTAAAATGAATTTCTTATGATAGAAATTCACTTTTGTTTTATTTATATGCAGACAAAAAAATCCTTGCCGACAGCGTCAACAACTTGTTTTTATTTCGACCAACACAATTTAATAAATACAAAACATGAAGATGATGATGATGATAATAATATTCGTAATAATACTCTTATGGATGAAATGACATGGTCGGAAATGTCTTCATCATTAAGTGCGCTGAATCTTTTTCAAGATTCTTATCATTCCAATTCATTAACTGGTGATTCTGGCGTTGATTGCTCTGAAATACCTGTACGAAATTATCAACAAAATCATGATGACAATGAAATATCATTAAGAAAATATGATTCAGACACAGGATTGCATCATGATACACGTAAATAAAATTTTTAAAACAAAAATTCTCAAAAACCTTTTTTCTTAATTCAAGAAACAGCAACCGAATCTCATGTCATGTCTTACATATCAACAGAAAAAGGTTTAGAACGTGCATTAGAACAAACAAGTCGTTTTTATACTGACCTTGAACATATTGCAACTGATCTCGGAACATTAACAAAACGATATTCGAATTCTCATCGATCAATCGATGCATTAGATTGGGATTGGATGGATGATGTTCAATCACCGCCAGTAAATCAATCACCTAAATATAATCAACGAAAGCAAATGACACGTTCAAATAATAAAAATAAAATTCGACGACGAATAACGATGCCGGTTAATCAAACGGAATATCATGAATCCGATCATGAAAAACGATCCTTTGAATATTCAAATTCACCATTACGAAAAAGTATGAAAAATAAAATTTATTTATTTATTTCAATGAATCCATTTTTATTTTCGTTTCTAGAACATAGCTCAGTTTACTTTGATTCAACAGATAATACGAGTGATGAAGAACATGCAGGAGATGAAACATTGCAAATAACCTCATAGAAGAGGTTTGCTTTTGAATCTTATCGTTTCTTTCCGGTGGAGACGAATTCAAAGAAAAAGAAAAATTCAATTCTTGAGAAACAATGCGATCTTTTTCAACATGTCAGATTATATCCATGTATTGTTCATGAAATGTTTGTTTTACGGGTGTGCATTCTCTTATGTGTATATGAGATTTTCTTTGCTTATTCTCTACCTTGTGCTCCTCTTTTCTTTTTGTTTAAAATTGCATTAGATTATTCTAAAAATAGATTAATAAATAATTGTCTATCATAGTCTATCTTCTTATGTTTAACACTATTTTTACATTAACCATTGTTGTTCTTCGCTTAGATAAAACGATATTTTCAAATAAATTCAATGAATTCGGTTTACAAAGATATTCGTTTCTACAGATATAAACATCTAATAATAGATCTCCGAGACACAATCGAATGATTAAACTATCGTAGTGGTTTAACATCTGCCTTTTCTTATCTTCTGAAATTTTTTCGAACTTAGTCAATTCTTTTCTATCTATCTGCAAGGTTGAATGATGATACTTCTGCATTGATATTCATGATATGCTACAATATTACCACTGCAATTCGATTGATATATACTATTTTTGTTTTTCGGTAGAATTGTGTTTCAATTAGATATGACTAATGATTTCTTTCCTTCAAAATCAAAACCATCTAGTTCATATTCATTTACAATACTCAAGTTCACAATAGTTTAACTATGCTTTGAAAAACTTAAGTTTAGATGATCAGTAAACCTAAAATAAAAACATGTCAGTTTCTATATAAATGATAACTTCAAAAGAAACTCTTTGAAAGGATTAATTTAATTCGATTGAATAATTGTTTTCTTTTTTTCCTCCTTCATGTGACGTTTGCATCATTTCGTCAATGGTAATATACATTCGATTAGAGATTATTGATGGATTATGATCAAAAGAATTTACAATCCGACGAAATTCTTTTAATAGATTTTTGTTTTGAGTTAGCTCTGTACAGATATATACGTTATAGATTTATTGAAATAGAACTATTTTATACTAACTGAAAGATTATTACATTCGCTACCAGAACATTATGGTTACATAAACAATGCCAAGGATGAGTATATCCATATGATATAATGAGAAAAAAATTGATGACCTTTGCTTATCGTATTCTTCGAGTCAGAAACAAATAAGTCTGTAATAGAAAAACAAACATGCTTTACAAAACCTGTGAAGACTTAGAACTCTCAATATCTAATATAATGTGATGGCCTTTTACATATTTATTAATTCTTTTGATTCGAACATTTGTCATCTGTCTTGTTCCATGGATAGTACGATGTCCTATAACATGAAATTCTATATCACGCACAATAGCACATTGAACTGTCATAATTAACCTTTGAATCTATCTCCGTTGAGTACGTCGTAAACGATAAGAAATAGACGTATCAATAGTATATACTATAGTCAAGCAAAATGATCATTGAGCTAGTACCAACAGGAGTAGAGGACTAAATCGAAGTGTTATCTTGTTGCATATGGTTAATATCAATACTACTGAAAAAAATATATTAATAATACAGTAAAACGCATTATCAATTAGTGACAGTAGATATGTGAAATTATGTTTTGCTAGTCTCGATGGAATGTTCTCCAGGGATATTATTTGATGACCTACTCAAATTAATACTAAAAAAGGTTTTTTTTAATACAAATGGGACAGATTAATTATGTATGTGAATGTCACTCATGTTCTAGCCTTAGTGTCTTCGTTTGAATTTGTTTTTTATTTTATAAATCTGATTTAGAAGATCATTCGTTCGAGTCATGAGAACATTTAACTGTAGTCGCTGCTATCGATAGATCTTCAAAGTTTAGCTCTGCACATGTCTTAGAGCGACACATCATTTATTAATTATATCATACTGATGCCAATAGTACAAAGTTGTTTACCAGTTGAAGGTTATAATACTTCGAACTTTCATGGAAAGCATAAGTGTTTTATAAGCAACGCAATAAATCGATAATTGAAGCTTTACTCAAGACTTGATTCCGAACTAATTGATTAAATCTGTCGACTGTATACCAGTAAGAGACATGAAAAGGTTTTTCATCATATACAAAATATTCTTGTAGTATATTCAGTTGAAAAATAATAAATTTAAATGCAATAAAATGAAGAATGCATTGATTAAAGTGAACACAAACTTTAACAAATGTTTTTTTGTTTATCATAATGGGAATACAAGCTAAATGTTAACTAAATATCATGATTCTCAGAAAAATTCATTTGATAGGATCAAAAAAATTTTTAGTAGTGTCAATTTCAAAGACTGTGCCATTGATTTTGAAAACAACAACATTACGCTTTTCGTCAAGTGGCATCCCAGTAGGATCGAAGAGCAAAAAGGTTATTGGTGATTATTTGTGAAAGTTCATTCTGTTCATTGATACTATCTATTTTTGTAGCCGCCTCTTCAGCAGATATTTTTGTTACCAATTCATCGTGAACAACTGGAGATGATGAAACGATCACTCCCATGATCAAACATACAGTTAAATAAATGAATGTTGCCCGATTAGAAATCATCGCACTATGTAAATCAAATCTCTTGTGCATGAACGGATTGAAGAAGATATATATATATATATAAATGAATGTGTTATGAATTATGCGTTTTTCTTTCTATCTGGTTGAATAATATCGATGAGATTTTTCCATTTGATTTTATCTCTGCACGCTAGATTAGCTTTGATTTATAAATACTATTCTTATGAATATGAGTGACAGAAACTCTTGTCGATCTTCAAAACTACGAACTATTGTCGATTTTTACATGAAGATATTAATATGAATGCACTAATTGTATTTTCGTCAAATTTAAACGATTTGAAACAGAAAAATGTATAGTTTTTACTCACCAAAACTGACATATTAAAATCGAAGAGGATTTCTCAGTATCATATTCATATATATATATATATATGATTTAACCATACTAAATTAAAACCTTGTGACGAGTAAATGGTTAATAAAGAAAATATTTCCTTGTTAAAATAATCATACATCATGTTCTGTTAGATATATAGCATTTTATCAGATGACTTCAACGCTATAACTTGACCCTGTAGTGAATTGCTATCAATTGATAGATATAATTTACTTCTGTCAATATTTTTTTTCAACACAGAATTCTGATTTATTTAGTTCACTTAAACTGACAACGAACGCTAATGTAGTATATCAACATGTTGCATAAATCTGCATCAAAAAGTCGGAAATTCGCTTTTCAAATGTTTCCTAAAGCAGATATTGACGTATAGTCGTTACTATGCAATTATACACCGTATCAGACATACACAAATTTTATTTTATTTTCTACAAAATTCTGTTAGCAAAGGAATTTGTAAAAATATTGGATTTTTCAATCAACTATTCTGAAATGTTCGCTGGAATCAAAAATCTTTTCTCTTCAAATTTTGTAGAATGTTTTGTACAATTTAGAATTCGATTTCAATGCCATAGTTGGTTTTACGCGTTTTCTCTTTTACATACTCGTAATTCTGCATGTGACTAATCAAATGTAAACAAATTTGCTGGTTCGTTTCGAAGGTTTTTGGTAAGCAAAATGACATGAAATAAAAACTGCTGTTCTTTCTCTTCATGATACGACATTACATCTAGCCTTCGAGGCCACCTAGAGTAACTTTACATAGATTTAGCATAAAAAAATGATAAGCCCTGAGAAAGTTCATTACTACCAGATACATGTTTTACAACATTGCATAATCACGCCTGATTATCATATTTGAACTACTTGTAAAATATCTCGATGATTAATTAAAAGCACGATAAAGAAACGTGCTCGACAATGCATTAAATAACACTATCTACTTGTTGCAATAAACAGCAACAACTATATCGTGTTTCATATTTTAATTCTCGAGGGATCCAGAAAGTAGCTTGTTGTTTTGTAAACTGTAAATTAATCTTATTTTCAAAGGCTTTCTTGAAAACAAAAAGTAGAAAAAAATTGTTATTCTAACAAAAATGAAATGCAAGTTAGTAATACATGTTCATGAAAACAAATCGAAAGAAACCATCATAATTATAATAATAATAATATATAATCACTAAATACAAGACAGGGCTTTCATTTATTCTTAATAGTTCATTTAGATACTAACAATAAAAGAAAAATTTCTCTTATAATTAACCGTGTAAAACAAATTTACCAATATTTATAAAAATTTAAAACACACACATACACACATTTGTTTTTTATCACAAAAATGATAAACAGATCTCGTCGTTTTCCTAAATCTTTCTGTTAATTATGTGTAATATACAACAGTAATCAATATATATATATATATAAAACGGCATTAAAACTAGTTCTGTATTGCATTATATACATTGAAAAAAAGAACACGAATGAATTATCAATCATCATCGTCATCATTTTTCGAATGTGGTACAAATTTGAGTAGGAGTGCAGCATCAACATTTGTTGAACATTGTGGGCATGTTAAACTTTTTATTAACCATCCATCTATACATGTTGGATGAAATACATGTGCACCATCACATGGTAATTGTCGAACTTGTTCATTAGGCAAGAAATCAATTAGACAAATAGCACAACTTGAATATTTAAAAAAAGAATGTTATTAGTTATCATAATTTGAAAAAAAGAATTTTTAATGTACTCAGTTTGCTTGATAAGTTTTTCATTATATTTAATTAATAATAAATGCTCGAAAAGGTTTCGATTCTGCGCTTCTTTAATTAGATTAATATCTGTTGGTGTAGATGAATTACCAGATGATCGATTTACTGGAACTGACGACTAGAAATTCGATTGAAATGTTTTAGCATGAAGAAAAATGAAGCCATGATAAAAACGTACTTTAGGGATAGATGTATCAGGTGGTACAGAATATGAACTTGAGGAAGCCACTGGGGCTGATGTATAACGAGTAGAAGATATTGGTAGAAGACTAGTCCGATCATCGGGCACTCCCCAACAGCTGCCCATTGGAAGAAAAATATATTATCAACTCTGTTAAATAGTTAAGAATTTTTACAATCAAAAACAAAAGAACAAATGTGTTTATATATCAATTACGGAGTAGGATAAGATCAGCTGGTTCGTCGTATCATTTATTTCTATTCGCCTAGATATGATTGATTCAGAAATCATCAACTATTTTACCTAATTGTAAAATAGTGCTGTTTTTTAATTAATCTTGAAATCTGATCTATTTAAGAATACATATAAATCTTTTTGTTTTTATTGTTAAATTTTCGTCGAAACAGATGTCACTAAATGTCTCGAATGAAAAAATCACTTCGTTAAAGATGCACACATGCACTTGTCTATCATGGCTGTTTCGTTGGCGTATGATTGTTTGTATTTTCTTTTCAATCATCTGATTAATTGCTTTTTCTTCAGATTTATTATTTCTTCCCATTCCCTTAATTATTCAATATCCCAATTTTGAAAAAAATGACGAGCAATAATCGTCAATCAGCTACTGGCCAAGCAGCACGAACATGTCAATTTAAAATGGTTCTATTAGGTGAATCAGCTGTCGGTAAATCATCGTTGGTACTTCGTTTTGTTAAAGGACAGTTTCATGAATATCAAGAATCAACTATTGGTGCAGCATTTCTTACACAAACTGTATCTGTTGATGATATAACAGTCAAACTTGAGTTATGGGATACAGCTGGACAAGAAAGGTAAACAACATTTATTTTTGACAACGTACCAGTAGTTTTTATTGACTCGATTTGTTTTTGTTTTATAGATATCATTCATTAGCTCCAATGTATTATCGTGGTGCTCAAGCTGCTATTGTTGTTTACGATATAACGAACGCAGATACATTCAGTCGAGCAAAAGTATGGGTTAAAGAATTACAACGTCAAGCAGCGCCAAATATTGTTATTGCTTTAGCTGGTAATAAAGCTGACTTAGCTGCTAAACGTCAAGTTGAAGTAGCGGATGCTCAGTCATATGCAGAAGAAAATGGTTTAATATTTATGGAAACATCAGCTAAAACATCAATGAATGTTAATGATATATTTATGGCCATAGCCAAAAAATTACCTAAAACTCAAGATACATCAAATGCAAATGGTGGACGAGGGCGTAGTAATGATGGTCAATCAATAACAGTTTCTCGAACGTCAACCCAAAGAGTACCTGGAGATGAAGGTGGTTGTTGTGGTGGCAAGTAAAATGAACTTTTATCGTATGTTCTTTTCTTCTAATTTCTACATGAATTGAAAGACGTTCTTCACGATCAAATTAAATTAAAAATTGAAACATATATCTTTAATTTTTTTTCTGTTTTGTTTAATTTCTCTTGTCTTGTATCGCTGTACATCTTTTTGTTGTCTTTTGTTTGCTTCTGGCCTTTTCTTTTCGTATATTTAAAAAATCAAACAACATAAGACTTCTATAAATATATATTCATATATATCTATATATATATATGTATGCATGTATCCATTGTATTCGATCTTTTTTTATAACAATGTCTCTTTGCATTCATTTTTTTCTCTGTCGCGTGTGATGATTTTGGCCGCTGATTTTGTTTGTTTGTTTCCAAAAAGAAGCAGAAGAAGAAGAAAAAAAATACATTTTATCGTTTGTTTTTAATGGATAAAGCGGATAGAGATTTCGAACACGCAAAATCTCCATATGTTTACATGCGAATAATGTGAAACAATGTGAAAACAAGCACATCTTTAATGTTTTTTGCTATTTCAGAAAAGAAATACAAAGAAAAACAAAATCTTATTTTATATTGTAGACTAAAATATGGATATATCCATATTTAAAATTATTCGTTCATTCTGTCTTGTTTTATTTATTGCAATATTCGAATATAAGCGTGGATCATTTACATACTCTGGTACTTTAACTGGTTTTATTCTGTGTTTAATAATAGCTTATTCGAATATTGTTTTTCTATTTGTAATGATTGCATTTATTTTAAGTACTTCTTTTGCTACACGTTATAAATTTGATATAAAACAGTCAAAAATCAATGAAAACGATCATCAAATAGAAACAAAAAAATATAAAAAAACTGCTCGCAGTCATATTCAAGTTCTATGTAATGGCGCAATAGCGTGTCTATATGCAATCGGCTATTGTTGCAAAACCAATTATTCTGGTCTTTCATTACCAATTGATAATAAACATGAATCATCTATTTATACAATTGGATTTCTTTTTACTACTGCTTGCTGTTGTGGAGATACATTAGGTAAATTTTAGATTCATGATTCATAAGTGATGTTTCAGAATCGAGTTTAATTAAAATCTATTGTTTCCTATGTAATACAAATGAGGTGTTTTTTAATTCTACGAAATCGTTCGATTTATTTAATTGTATTGATAAATAGTTGAAAAGTTTAATATCGTGAATCGTAGTCTTATAGTCCGTTAAATAAATATTTTCAGTGTTATTTTTTCTAACATATTACATTGACCTAGTACATATTCTAATTGTGTTGATATTTAGTTATGATATTTTTGACAGCGAAGACATACAAATGCGTTCGAATATTATCGTATTATCTTCCTCATAATGACTCTTTGTGCTTGATAAATCGTGGCTACATTAGATAAGATAAATGCTACTCAGTTATGTAACACACTCTTTTTGTCCCGTGATATTGATAAAACAGAAAATATATACGTGATAGAATTCAATGCTACCTACAATATTGATACGGAATTTTCATCATCTGAAAAAAATGATAACTTGTACATAGAAGTAAGAGAAGACAGACTGGATATCATCGAGTTTACTTCGATTCTATTAGAAAAGAACAAGCAATGTACTGTTTTCCTAATCCCTTCTAAGTTTGGCTTGCAGAATTTTATATTAAAGGTATTTAAAAGAATAAATTAATCTGTCGCATTAACCATATGACAGATCGAATAGTTTTGAGCTTACTGAGAACTATGAAAGAGTATTGCAATGTATTGTGTGTCTAACAGATATGTAAGAAAATATGGCTAACCAAAAATAGATTATTGAAAGTAATAAATAGGATACATCCTTTTACTCTAGATTCGATCATCGTTAGAGCACAGCTATCGTCTAGGAAAAGCTTTGCAATTGGTCTATGTTCTATTATTATACTGAGACTAAAGAGTACACAATACGAACGTCACAATTTAGCCCCAGAGAAACAACACTAACAAGTTTTCTTCCGGTTGTTAACCGTTGTATTGCTTTCATTGACGCGCATTCGAATCAATATATGATTAGGAAAATTCAATATTTTTTCTTTTGTTTTCTCATGTTTTTCATAAACAGAGCCTGATTGCATGATTAGGTATTGTAACATTTTTGGATTCTATTTTCTCAGTTTTAAGCATTCGAGAATCGATCAAATAATATTCTTTAAATTTTTTATCGATAATAAAATATTTACATCTGAGGTTGTTCATTAGAATAATCTATCAAAATTGTAAAAACAAAAGTCCATACTTTTATTGAATTCATGAATGATCCATTTTTAAAATCATCTTAGAACTTTTGAAATAGTTTCTTTTATGTAAAAACTAATTTTTATTACAGCATCCGAACTTGGTACTGTTCTTGCTCGAAATAATCCTCGTTTATTAACGAACCCATTTCGAGTTGTACCTGTTGGTACAAACGGTGCAATATCATTTGTTGGATGTTTATGTAGTCTTCTCGGTGGTTTTATTATCGGTCTTAGTTACATTATTGGTAATTCAATATTTTGTCGGCCGGATCACATGATTAATACGTCTATGATAAATAATATTCAATTACTTTTCTATTGTACTGTGTTCGGCCTTGTAGGCTCTTCCATTGATTCCATATTAGGTGCTACTTTACAATTTAGTGGCTATGATAGAGAACATAATGTTACTGTTCAAAAACCTGGGCCATCCATTGAAAGAATATCTGGTTTTCATATATTGTCAAACAATCAAGTAAACATTTTATCGTCGTTACTTACGTCCATGATTGCTATTTGGATTTTACCCATTATTATGGTTTGATGTTTCAGATTTAAGGGAAAAAAATAATCTCTTATTATGCAATGTTTTTTTTTTTATGATTTTTTTGCACTCTTTTTGTGTAATAAAAATAAGAAAACGGTATTATTAGTTATAAGCAACAGTATGTTATCACACTCATCAAGTCTTTGTAGAATAAAAGAAAACGATAAGAATAAACGTTCACGTGAAAGATACTAGAATAAGATCTATTTTACATGAGGAAATTAATCAGCAAACCTCAAGAATTGTGTACACAGCTGTTTCTATTAGTATTCGGCAAGGTTTATATTTTCGTTTTTCATACTAAGATAAAACAACATCTAGTATATTTCTTTCCAAAGAAAAAGAATGCACCCAAAATATGGTGTCATATTTTGTGGAGCTTTTTTGACATATGAAATAGTACGATAAGGAAGAAATACGTTGTGGATATGAAAGATAAAGTTGACAATTCATATCTTGATTTTAAAAACGGGTTTTTAGGATTTCACCAGAACATACTAGAAGTTTTTGGATACTCGCACGAAAAATCTTGGCGGACTTTGTATAACTTTTAATTATTTTTCAGCTGCAGACTTTCGAGACTATTACAATTTTTTATGCACTACTACTATTCATGCACTCTATTAAAAAGCATTGACTGGTTGATCGGAAAATGAGAACTGACCATTGTGTGAATCACTGCCTTTGACAGCTCAGTCAATATTATTGTCAAATAAAAAATGTGTGCGCATATTTTTTTCCCGCCTTAATCAATATTTGCATTGGACGTTATCTACTCTGTTTCTTCCTTCGTTCGACATTGCTGTATAATTTATTTTTCAAGACTGAATAACTCGATCGTTTACAATGAAAGTATTTGAATCAAAGAAAAACAAGTTCACCTGACACTAAAGAACCAAAAACAAACATTGATTTATAAATAATAATACCCAAAAAATTCTATAATTGATTGAATTACTAAATGAAGAGCCGAGTTGTAAGATCTTCTCAATCTAAACAAGAAACTCATTTTGATCTATTGATTTATCTAATAGGCTTTTCACAATAAAATAGTTTGAGTTTGTGAGCTTCGGTTTTTACTCAGAGGAAAATGGGAGACTTCGATTTTGACGTAGTTACATTTTAGATTGATAATCATTGAAAATTAACCGAATTCAATTCAGCAAATTTAGTTTTTCGATGAAATATTTTATTTTAATTTTATAATCCAGATTTTATTCTTTCTATTGTATAAAACCAATCATATACATGTTATATATGTCGCCATTTGCTAAAAGCAAATAAAATGCCCTAAAAGGAGTTGTTCTCTTTTGTTTTACTATCTAAACAATAAAATGAAGAAGACTCGTGTCATTCGTTTATCATAGAATAAAAAAGAACAATTATGCAAGCAGGCGGACAAAGTATTCTTGATAGAATTTTAGCTGCAAAAAATACAATAGCTGGACAAGCTATAGCTAAAGTTGTATGTAAAGCAACAACAGAAGAAGTAACGGGACCTAAACGAAAGCATGTAGATTGTAAGTTAAATCTTAATACGCAGATATTGAAATGAAAATAATTGTTTTCTATTTCATTTGAAGTTCTTTTACAAATGACACATCAAACTAACGCTTCGATTCCTGATATTGCTGATATTTTAATGGAACGTTCACAGAACACTTCATGGGTCGTTGCATTTAAATCGCTAATTACAATTCATCAGTTAATGGCATTCGGAAGTGAAGTAAACTTTTGCTTTTATTTTTAAATATTATTTTATCGTTCGAATCGTCATAGCGTTTTGAATCTTATATGGCATCACATAATTATCATTTACAAGCATCTGGCATTGCTGATCGTATAGGAATGCCCGGTACTGATATGTTCATCTATATTGGTCGATATGCTGATTATTTAAATGAAAAACGTGAAGCTTATAAAATAATGGGATACGATTTTTGTAAAATAGAACGAGGGTTTGTAGACGACATTTTTAATATCGACTGAAAAAGATTGTGAAAACATTTATTTTACTTTGAAGGAAAGATGATGGAACCCTTCGAATAATGCCTTTAGACAAGGTACGAAAGTGTGGTGATATTAGAGAAAAACAAATAAATGATTTGTTTTTAATTTTAGCTATTTAAAACTTTACCGATTATTCTAAAACAAATCGATGCTATACTTCGTTTTGATGTAAGTTTATCAAAAGTTAAATTTAAAACAGATTGTTCGATGTACAGTGAATTATAAACTCATCTTGTTTAATAGTTCTTTTCTAATCATTTCAGGTAAAGCGTCAGAACCAGTGGCGGAGCCAGGATTTTGGGCTAGGGGGGGGGGGGGGGGGGCACCCCCCCCGGGTTTGCCCCAGG